AGATGGTAAAATGTTCAAATCAGTGTCCGTCACTTAGATAATACAATACTTTCAACACTATACTGCCTCCTTCACAGCTTAATACTATGGTTCATGAGTGAGGGGCATTTTTCCTCCGTTACCCCCTCTCTTAACAATCCCATAAAGGTAAAGGTAAAGGTAAAGGGACCGCTGACCATTAGGTCCAGTTGTGGCCAACTCTGGGGTTGCGGCGCTCATCTCCCATACCTGAGGTATTTATGGTATTACAGACCCAGGAGATCCCCTCTCCCCTTGTCACTGGGTTGGGAGTCTTCAGTACCTAGAAGAATTCTCCCCTCCTTGTTAGACTGACACCCAGGGCAGTGGCAAAGCTGCATGCCCCAGCACTGGGGGCGAAGAGCGGGTGGGGGTGTGGCTGGCGCCTGTCCCAGGGGCGTGGCATGCTGCCTGTGGGGGCATGGCGTACGTCCTGGGGGCGTGGTGCGCTGGCCACAGGGGCGTGACATATGTCCTGGGGGCGTGGCACCCAGTGCGGTCGGGGGGTGCATGGCACGTGTCCGGGGGCAGCCACGATGGTACCCCCCGATGGTGCCAGGGGCGGTACGCTCCCCCCGCCAGTGACCCAGGGAGCCTGAATTCCCACAGGATCTGTCGCTCCTGGTTCAGACTCTGCCCTCTCAGCACACTCCTGTTTAGACACCTTCCCCAGACCCTCAGCCTGGTCTCCCTATCCGAGTTGTAAGGCTCTGTCCTCTCCCTATGGATAGTCTCCTCAGTGTGTATCTCCTTTTTCCCTCAGAACCCCTTCACCCTCTCTCCCAATCTGAAACCTGTCTAACCTTTCCAAACCAATCATATCCCTCCCCCGGAACTCTGGCCAATCAGAGGCTGTTGCCAGCCAACTGTTTGCTGGCAGACAACAACAACACTTGGTGACCCCTTCACCCTCTCTCCCAATCTGAAACCTGTCTAACCTTTCCAAACCAATCATATCCCTCCCCCGGAACTCTGGCCAATCAGAGGCTGTTGCCAGCCAACTGTTTGCTGGCAGACAACAACAACACTTGGTGACCCAAACTGGCCAGCAAACAAACTTTCCCATCACATAGTGCAATTTGCATTCCATGGAATCCCATATCCACTGTCTCTTTTACATTATGTCAGCCTGGCGGGTAACAGATTGGAGGAGGAACATGCAAGTGGTGCTTTGAAGGGAGGGGGCACACAACGACATGCCCTCCTGCAGTTGGGATAACATCAGAGATGGGGAAGGGAACCTGGCCTCACCCCAGCTCTCCAGCCCAGGAGCTTCTCACTCAAAGAAGGGAGTTCTGCTTACCTTTTGTGACTCTCTCTTATTTCCACCCCCTGCAGAGACAAGCTCCATAACAGCTTTGCAAAAATGAGCAAGCGCTTGCACAACCTGAAGGAGAAGTTACCTGCTGAGGTGGTTCAAGGGTACGACCTGGTGGTTGGGGCGTCGCTGGGCGTGGTGGACAAAAGTCTCAACACCATCCGTGCCTTGCATAGAAAGGTATCGCCTGCCTCAGACGAGCTGGCGGAGGCTCTGTACACCATTGTGGCACCTTACGCAGATTCGGTCTTAGAGAAGGTGGATCGGTACTCAAAGTCCCTGCAGCGTTCCCTCGTGGCCAAGGCCGAAGAGCTGAACCCCAAGCTGAACGAGAAGCTGAAGCAGCAGCTGGAAGACCTGAAAGATCAGTTGGCCCCTTATGCTGAAGTTCTCCAGCAGGAACTGGAAGAATTCCGGTCATCCATAGACCCCTACGTTGACCAGGTCCAGGAGAAGCTTGAGGAAGGAGTGGAGAGAGTCAACCAGATTCTGCAGCCTTATTTTAGCCGTATTTTCAAGGCACTCCAAGAACGCGCTGAGAAGTTTAAGAAGTGGATTGAAGCCCCTACCTTTCCCCCAAGTCAGTGATGATGGTGGCGATTGTTTTGCACACGATGGAGGATGGAACCTTGGCCAACCCCAAGACAGACAGAAGATGTGGTGGTCTCTTCTGTAGCTCATATCATAAACCAGATGTCCCTGTTGATGTCTACACATTGTTCCGGATACGTGGTTCCAATTTCTCATTACATAGTGGTAGCTTCTGCTGATGGTGTCCGTGCCATCACACCTAAGTCGAAGTAAATGGCATTTCTGTTTTATTCTTTCGCCTGTAGTCCTTCTTGTTCACTCTTAGTGTTCTGTAAACTTTGATTCCCTTAAAATAAACTCGAGTTAACCTTTTAATTGCCTCCTCTGCCTCACTCTTGTCCACCTCTGCTAATGCTTCTATTAACATTACTAGGGCATATATAGGTGTCTTTAGGCTTGGTTCAGGTAACCCTGGTATTGGCAGTGGTTTGAGGCTTTGATAAGTTCTGGTGGGTCCTAAAAGCTGCATTTTCTTCATGATCAACAGAAGGCACTTTTCTCCAAAGAGATGAAGGGAACAAAAACAGGTCCATTCACTTCATTCCTTTGAAGGAAAGAAAACCCCACAATTGCTCCTCCTGGTGTAGCCTTATTGGAGTTCACCGGTTGGGTCTGCATTGCTCCGGGACAGGAGGAAGGAAGTCAAATGACACCGAGGTTGATTCAAAGAAAGAGTTTATTCTGCTCTCCGGATAGCAGAAGGCACTTGCGTGATAAAGTCCACAGCAAGTCCAAAGAAATGACAAGTTTCATGCAGTATATATATCCTCCAGGCACCCTCTCCCTCCTTCCCATTTAAATCCAACCACGTCAGCCTATGTACGCAGGTTGACATCACATATGTTCTTACTCTGGTATTCTTAACCATAAAAGGGAATTGCTTCCTGTACTTCTGACCATAAATGGATCTTCCTCTTCCTACTCTTATCTTGGAGGAAGAGGTGTCATCTCCGAGAACACGCTTTTGGCGTTGTTCCGGACCTAGGTCTGTGCATCTTTTGTGGTCAGCACATGAGATAAGGCACGGATGTGTCTTCTCTGTTCTGCTGGTGCAGTCAGGGTCATCCCTGCGGTCACAAACTGATAAAGGAGAGGGCTCTGAGCACAGCCGGGTTTTTGTTTATACATTGTCTCAGAGCTCAAGTTAATGGATTTTAGCTAAGGAAAAATAGGGATTTTGGTGCAGTTTCAAACTGCCTGCACAGTCAGTTTTGGGTTTGGGAAACCCATTCCTTCACTGGCAATAAGGAATGTTGCAATGGGATTATGCAAGTTGAGGGAGGGGGGAGTGTCAAAATCACTTTCTTCCACAGGGTAGCAAAACAGGGGAGGACATGGATGGAAAGAATCCATGTGTCCCGTCCCCCGTCCCCCCCGCTCAGAGATGGGCCTACCTTCATCCCAGCTGAATCTCAGGACCCTCCACTGAACCACTATGAATTTCCTTATTCTCACAATGGCCTTGGTCATCCTGACAGTGACCATCAGGCTAGAAGCTGCCTCGCCTTCCCCTTTGTTGGCTACACATTTTAAACATTTTGAGACTGTGGGTTCGTTAATCCGTTTGAATGCCCTGTGTTTGCCTTCAGCTAGGCACTTGGTTAAATTGGAAATTTAAAATGTTTGTCCTCTTTGTGTTTCTGCCGGTTTGCCTTATGACAGACAACATTACTGAATTGTTGTTTATTGGACAAGTTTCCAAGGTTTCGTAATTGTTTTTTCCACCCTTTGTTTATCGTTATTACTTTGTTCCCCACGCTGGGATTGAAAATAAGTACAAATAAAAAAGGTGAAATTGGACTCGCATATTCAGCAGCAGGGACACTTCCAGGAAAGCAAGCAATAAATGTGGGGTTTGGGGGGGAGGGGGAGTTCCTGTTGCCTTCATGCTCTGCATATGGGCTTTTCAGAGGCTATCAGGCTGATCACTGTTGGAAACAGGATGCTGGGGAAATGGCCACTCTCTTTGGACCCAAGTTGTCCAGCAAGTGTGAGGGAGAAAGCAAGGGAGTGAAACTCTTGCTCCTTCTCTTTCCTCTTTCCTCACCTGCCTGCAGACAAGAGGCAGCAAGGCAGAGGAGCAACAAAATCGAGGAGCTGAAGAAGTTGGCAGTGGGAACCCTGTGGGAGTACAGGCCCTGGCAGGTTCCTCACATGGCAGACTCCCAACACCACTACTAGAATGTGGAATAAGGTGGCTATTAAGTGGACTGGGGAGAATAGAGATAAAATAACCTAAGCCGTGAAGCTCACGGTGTGGTTTTGGGCCTGTCGTTGTCCCTTTGTCATTGCCGAACCAACCTCACAGGGTTTTTGTGAGGAAAATACAGGGAAAGGGAGACCAAAGAGTGCCACCTTGAGCTCCTTGGCGGGAAAGTGGGGAAAATATAATTGTGAGAAAGTATAATAAAAATGAGGGACGCGGGTGGCGCTGTGGGTAAAACCTCAGCGCCTAGGACTTGCCGATCGCATGGTCGGCGGTTCGAATCCCCGCGGCGGGGTGCGCTCCCGTCGTTCGGTCCCAGCGCCTGCCAACCTAGCAGTTCGAAAACACCTCCGGGAGCAAGTAGATAAATAGGGACCGCTTACCAGCGGGAAGGTAAACGGCGTTCCGTGTGCTGCGCTGGCTCGCCAGATGCAGCTTGTCACGCTGGCCACGTGACCCGGAAGTGTCTGCGGACAGCGCTGGCTCCCGGCCTATAGAGTGAGATGGGCGCACAACCCCAGAGTCTGGCAAGACTGGCCCGTACGGGCAGGGGTACCTTTACCTTTACCTTATAATAAAAATACAGTCATACCTCGGGTTGAATGTGCTTCAGGTTGAGCGCTTTCAGGTTGCGCTCCGCAATGACCCGGAAGTAACGGAGCGCATTACTTCCAGGTTTCGCTGCTCACGGAGACGCTCAAAATGACGTCACGCACATGCGCGGAAGCGGCAATACGCGACCTGCGCATGTGGAGACGTGCTGTCGTGTCTTTGGATAGCCTGTGTTGCCTTCTTTGGTTAAATCAGATTTTTTTTTAAGGTTAGTCCTCTCTGTGGCAATGACCATGGGAGATAACAAGAGAAGGTTTCCCCTCAAAGGCACCTGCCCTCCAATAGCCCCACAATGTTAATGAGTGACCCAGGAGGCGAGGGAGGAGGAGAAGAAGATTGGGAGGAATAAGCAGCCTCCCTCGTTGCTCCCCGGACTCAGAGACAGCCCCTACCTTCATCCCAGCAGGTTCTCAGGACCCTCCGCCAAAGCACCATGAAGTTCTTCGTCCTCACACTGGCCTTGGTCATCCTGACGGGTGAGTGGAAGGTCAACATCAGGCTAGCAGCTGCCTTGCGTTCCACCTTTTGGGGTGTGAATTTAGCAAGATAGATATCTGTTGGACACTGAGATCCAACGCCGAGGGCCTTCTGGCAGTTCCCTCATTGCGAGAAGTGAGGTTACAGGGAACCAGGCTGAGGGCCTTCTCGGTAGTGGCGCCTGCCCCGTGGAACGCCCTCTCTTCAGATGTGAACTATCTTATCTTTAGAAGACATCTGAAGGCAGCCCTGTTTAGGGAAGTTTTTAATATTTAATGCTGTATTGTTTTTAACACTTGATTGGAAGCTGCCCAGAGTGGCTGGGGAAACTCAGCCAGATGGTCGGGATAATAATAATAATAATAATAATAATAATAATAATAATAATAATAATATTTTAGTTAAACTGAAGCTCCACATTCAGTGGCTGGGAGACAAAGAACGGACTGGACAAAATGGGGAGCAAAATGAGGGAGCAAAGTCCGTTCTGCAAATGAAGAGTCGACAGCCAAAACTGGTATAGGACTAATCTCTTCCCTGGTGACCTGCTGGCAGAGCAAGCTGACAGTGGGGATGCTTTGTGGGGAAATTGTAAATACTCCTTCAGTCTGAACCATTTCCAGAAGAACAAAACTATGGGCTTATCCACACGTACCTTTTGCTCTGCTCTTTCCAGGCAGAGGTCCACACTTTTCGCATTCTGTATGCAAGCAGGCCTTTTGTTTTGTGCTTCCCTTGCCCTGAGCTATCCCCGTGAAAACCCATTCTTTAAAGCTGAATCGGAAGAAGCATGAGTTTGAGTTTTGCATGGACTGAGGTTTGCTCCAATGAAGCTTTAAAGAGCAGGCTTTGGTGGGGAGCTAAGAGCAAAAAAGGAGGGCCGCTTGGCCATAGACCTTTTTGCTATGTGACAACGCAATGGATCTCACTCCTACCTTTGCACAGTGGCCTCCACTCCAGGCACATAAAATGTGGGGGAATCCACATCTTCCATCCTGGCAAGCAAAATCAGAAGATCCCACACACCTCTTCGTCCCCCATGCAGGCAAGCAAGAGGAATTATGGGACATTTTGCAGTCAGGCAGAGGCACCTGAGGGAAGGCATGAATTAGGGTCCGTGAAGAGCTTCCAGGGTCAGGTAGATACCAATATTTGGACTCCAGGTCTGAGATTCCCCACCCCTGCTGTAGTGTAATAGGCGATTCCCAGAAGAAAACTAGATGTGATGCAGTTTATGGGCTCATTTTCAAAATTATAAATAGCAGCCTGAGTAGTTTTCAGACTTCAGGGGATGAGAGAGGGAGTTTCACACACACTGTAGTCCTGAATAGAATCACACACACACACACACACACACACACACACACACACACAACCCAGCTGCTATTTGGCTTGGGGAGAAATTCTCCAACGGTGGCTTTACCTTTTTAAAACATGCATCTTAATTATTTTCACGCAAACAGAAACATCACGTCCATTGTTGGCCCTCAGTTCCTACATAACAACACTGGACTACATTGCAGCCTCAGTTTCCCCCGCAGACTGTATCTGCATTAGGACATACCGTTTTGGCCTGAATATAAGCCTCACTTTCCCCAAAAAAAATTCTGACCGTGAAAAGTTAAAGCATGGCTGAAATTCGCGACCTTACAAAAATGTGTTTTTACAATATCGCTGCTGAAGCAGACATACAATAAAACGGAATGGGTGTGAGTGCTTGCGGAACTTTAGGGGAACGGCTTATATTCAGGTATTGTCTTTTTCTCTCCCCCCCCCCCAATTTTAAGGTTGCAGCTTATATCTGAGTGCAGCTTATATTCGGGCAATACAGTAGTTTGTTAATGCGTAAAAACTGGGGGGAGAAATACAATATCTTCCAAATGAGGGGTCTGAGTTAGAAATAACATGAACTATTTTGTTTCTACTTTTCTTGAGTTGGTGAGGCACAAGCCCTCTACATTTGACCCTGGAGCATTACAGAACGGCATCCATATGTCTCTCTCTTAGAAGGCCAAGCTTTAGTTCACAGCTGCTGCACCAAACAGGCTTCGCACTTCCTCCAGCAGACGCTGCAATGCAGATTTTTTCCCTTTCTCCCAGGCACTTGGGCTTCTGTCCTCGGAGATGAGCCGAATTCCAGGCTGGATAAGCTAATGGAGCAGTTGAAAGAAGATTGGGAAAACATTACCGGAACAGTGCAAGAGAAACTGGGCTTGATTGAAAATTCGGAGGTGACCAAGGAACTTACGTAAGCAAATCAGACTTATGTTTCCAGTCTGTAGTATTCTCACCCAGCTTAGAAACTAAAAAGAGATATTAAAGAATAAATGGGCGGAAAGTTGGGGTTGGGGAGGGGAACGAGTCAGAGCTACTGAATCCTAAGCCCCAGGCCCCCGAACCTTCCCTTCTCCACCCCAGTCAGCATGTGGGGCAGGGCTGTAGGTGCAGCAGATGACACACTGCTCCATGAAGACCAGCAAACAGGTTTGAGATGGCTTGTCCCCAGTGGCATAGCAAGGTCAGGTGGTACCCGGGGCAGAAATTTTTGTCACTCCCCCCCCCATTGAAATTGAAATCTGTCAAAGAGAGCCACACAGGTGATCACGATGCAGATCCCACCTTCTCCCCCTCCCTCCCTCCACCCCCTCTGTCAAACAAAGCCGCGCAGGTAATGCTGTTGCTGGTCCCGACTTGCCTCGTCAGAGACAGGGCTCCTTCTCACTTCCCTTCTCTCCACCCCTAAACCAGCATGTGATCTCTCTCTCTCTCTCTCTCTCTCTCTCTCTCTCTCTCTCTCTCTCTCTCTCCTCAAACCAGCTGGGCTGCGGAACTCTCCTAGGTGCTGCTTCTCCTCCCCCACCCCCCAAAACAGCATGCCTTGGTGCTTAAATGAAAGGCAAAAGGGGGCAACCGCAGCCTCTCCCCACCTCCGTGCCCTTCTCAGGAATCCGCGTCAGCCCCAGAAGGACCCTGCCTTGCCCCACGAGCAGCACAGCTTTGACCGCGGCCAAACAGACACACACACAGCCCCCGAGCGGGGGGCGGGACATGGACAGGCAGGGAGAGCAGGTCCTGGCCAGCCGCCCATGCCCCCGGCCACAGAGGTGGGAAGAGGATGCGTCGGCGTCACAATGCAACTCAACCCCACTCGGTTCCACTGCACAAGCAGTGTCGAGTTCAGCCGGCATTTTGTCACCCCCTGTCGGAACCTGCGTTCGACCGAGCTGCTCCAAGCTCCTCCGGAATCGCCTCAGACGTGATTAATGACCTGAGCCTCTGATAAGGCTCCAGGCACATTCCCCATTCAGCAGAGTTTCAAAGCAGCAGAAGTGACGAGATTATGGGCTACATTGCTAAGAGTTTTATTTCTAGCTATGCAGACAGAAAATAAATAAACATGCTCTCTCTGTGAGAGCAGAGAACAACTGAACAACAAAGGAACAAGAAACCAGGAACATCACGAAACCAGGAACATCACATCCGTCTCCTGTGTTCCATGAGACTTCCAACAGCCTGGAATGTCTCTGGAATGTAAACAGAGTCTTGTGACTCCAAGAGCACTGCACAGTGGCAACACACAGAAACCAACACCCCCCCCCATGATGGCACCCGCAACCCCCGCACCCCCTTCCTATAACCTTGCTTGTCTCATGCCTAGAAAGCACAGTCCAAGTTGTTTTTCATTTCTCCCATTGGTTTCCCCAGAAAAACCCACTGCTTACTGATGAATCAGAACATCAATCCGCAAAAATAAACTATTGGCGCTTGCTCTGATTCAGTGTCGAACAGTGGGTTTTTCAGGGGGGGAAACAGTGGGACAAGAATATATGTGGATGATTCCTAACTCCCCCTTTTCCTTCTTAAACCTTCCCAATCATCTGTTCTCCCCCCCCATAGTAACCTGATTAAATCTGCCTATTGGGGAAATATTGGGATGCGCTTGTATGCCCTGCATGAAGAGTTACCTGCTGAGGTCGTGCAGAGTCTGGAGATGTTTATCGAGGTGCCATCAGTTGTTTCAGAGAAGGCTGTCAGATATCTATTTGCCCTGCAAAGCTATCGAGGGCGGTACCAAGAAGAGCTCGGTGAAGCATTGCATTCTGCCCTGGTGGGTTACGTCGATCCAGTTCTAGAGAAGGTGGGTCCGTACGCAGCAATCCTACACAGTGCCGTCGTCAGCAGAATGCAGGAGATCACCCTTAAGATGGATGAGAAGATACTGCAGCAAATGGAAATTCTGAAAACCCAGCTGGAGCCACACATCAAGGAGTTTCAAGAATCCCAAGCATCCCTTCAGTCCTATCTTGACGACGCCTACGAGCTGATCAGAAAAGGAGCGGAGACAATCCACAAGCACTTACTGAAGCCGTACTTTGCTCCCATTCTGAAGTTGTACAACAAATACAAAAATGACATTAGGGAGTGGGACCCTGAGTTTTACCAAATGCCATGATTTTTCTCACAAGTCACAGAGAATGGAATCTTACCCAGCATCTAAACAGAGATCAGAATAAAATAGTTTACCGGTATTTGGTGTGTGTGTGTAAGTCTGTGATCTTCCCCAAATGGTATAATAAAGGACAAACTCTGATAGATGGGGTGGCTGTTTCCCCTCAACGGTCTTCTTGCTGTTGCTGTTGCAAAGCCATTTTCTTCTCAGAAGCAGAAGTGAAGGGCTCCAATACACCCGTAATCCAATATGTGGATTATGTTGTACCTATAACAGTTGGGTAGGGGGAGCTCAGCCTCCTTGGCCTGTGCAGGAGAAATGAGGAGGGGTCGCTTTGACTCTCCCTACCATAAAGCTACTCTTTGTGTTTCAAAGGGAGCCTTCATTGGCACAAGTGACTGGAGGGTCTCCTGGAAACAGCACCTTCTTTCGTGTTTACTGGTTGCTAACCTTCACTGGAATACCAGGAGATACATTATATGTCCTTTGGTGCTTTCTTCCCTAAAAGATCCTGACCACTACAAACTACCAACGTATCAGGGAACTGAGACACTCCCCCACCCCACCCCAAACAGTCTTGCCATGGAGATAGAGCTGGGTCTATGAATTCCCATGTGTCAATAGATACTTCTTCTTTGGCAGTCACTCATAGCCGAATAAGATTGTCTTCCATAAACACGGTTTTAACAATGAGTCTGTAAGTGACTGTGGAGGCCAATTCGGGATCCACACATCCTTCCACAGTGGGGACATAGGTTTCTGGGCGGGAGTTGATCACAGTGTGGGTTTGCCAAACTGTGCCTTCCTCTTAGCATGTTTCTCCCTTTTGTCCTGACTTTGAACATCTTCAAAGCCCATGACACCTTAGGTAAAGGCTATTCTCCAATTGGAGCGCTCGCAGGCAAGTGTTTCCCAATTGCTGGTGTTTATACTACATTTTTTTAAAAAATTGCCTTGAGATAATCTTTAAACCTCTTTTGTTGACCACCGGCATTATGCTTTCCATTTTTAAGTTCAGAATAGAGTAGTTGTTTTAGAAGACAATAATCAGGCATCTGCACAACATGACCAGTCCAAAGAAGTTGATTTTGAAGAATCACTGGTGATCTTTGCTTCTCCCAATACACTTGTATTAGTTTGCCTGTCTTCCCAAGTGATGCGTAAAATTTTTGGAGACACCGTTGATGGAATCTTTCAAGGAGTTGAAGATGGCCTTTATAAGTGGTCCATGTTGCACAAGCATACAGTAAGGTTGGTAGTGCAATAGCTTTGTAAACAAGTCTATAGATACCCTATGCCAGTGCCCTATGTTAACAAATGACATCCTCTTCAGGGATAGTTTGCTCCAATCAGAGTGATCAGAATGAGCTCAGGCTATAGAACCTAAGAATATCAGGATGATAGAGGGGGTATTTTAACATTAGATGATCTGAGCTGACGGTGACTGACTAGGAACGAGACCTTGAAGTCATAGTGCAAAGCTTGATGAAGATATTGACCCAGGGTGTGGCAACCAAAAAGACCAATTCAGGGCTAGGGATCATTAGGAAAGGAATTCAAAACTTAAGATACCATAATAACATTATACAAATCTATGGTGTGACCATATTTGGAACACAGTGGTACCTCGGGTTACATACGCTTCAGGTTACAGACTCCGCTAACCCAGAAATATTACCTCAGGTTAAGAACTTTGCTTCACGATGAGAACCGAAATCGTGCTCTGGCGGCACAGCAGCAGGAGGAGGCCCCATTAGCCTCCTGCTCTACCTCTCTTTCAAATCAGAACCAGTGAAGGCGGTGAAGGTCCTGTGTGAGTGCCTGGAGGCGGTTGGAGGATGGATGGCGGCTAATGGATTGAAGTTGAATCCTGACAAGACAGGAGTACTGATTTTGGGGGACAGGGGACGGGCAGGTGTGGAGGACTCCCTGGTCCTGAATATGGTAACTGTACCCCTGAAGGACCAGGTGCGCAGCCTGGGAGTCATTTTGGACTCACAGCTGGCCATGGAGGCACAGGTCAATTCTGTATCCAGGGCAGCTGTCTACCAACTCCACCTGGTACGCAGGCTGAGACCCTACCTGCCCGCGGACTGTCTCGCCAGAGTGGTGCAAGCTCTAGTTATCTCCCGCTTGGACTACTGCAATGCGCTCTACGTGGGGCTACCTTTGAAGGTGACTCGGAAACTACAACTAATCCAGAATGCAGCAGCTAGACTGGTAACTGGGGGCGGCTGCCGAGACCACATAACACCGGTCTTGAAAGACCTACATTGGCTCCCAGTACGTTTCCGAGCACAATTCAAAGTGCTGGTGTTGACCTTTAAAGCCCTAAACAGCCTCGGCCCAGTATACCTGAAGGAGCGTCTCCACCCCTATCGTTCTGCCCGGACGCTGAGGTCCAGCGCCGAGGGCCTTCTGGCGGTTCCCTCACTGCGAGAAGCAAAGCTACAGGGAACCAGGCAGAGGGCCTTCTCAGTAGTGGCGCCCGCCCTGTGGAACGCCCTCCCATCAGATGTCAAAGTGATAAATAACTACCTGACATTTAGAAGACATCTTAAGGCAGCCCTGTTCAGGGAAGTTTTTCATCTGTGATATTTTACTGTATTTTTTGTTTCTATGGAAGCCGCCCAGAGTGGCTGGGGAAACCCAGCCAGATGGGCGGGGTACAAATAATAAATATTTATTATTATTATTATTATTATTATTATTATTATTATAGCTGAAGTGGTGCTTCAGGTTAAGAACAGTTTCAGGTTAAGAATGGACCTCCGGAACGAATTAAGTACTTAACCCAAGGTACGACTGTACTGTGTACAGTTCTGGTTGCCTCACCTTAAAAATGATTTTGAAGTGTTGGAAAAGGTTCTGGAAGGGACATTAAAAAAACATATGGTCACAGTCTCTTAGCATAGCCTACCTCGCACGGTTGTTGTGACTATAAAATGGTCCAGTCATGCCACCCTGAGCTCCTTGGAGGAAAGCATTTATAAGTTTCTATGGCATTTGGGGGGGGGGAGTGTCAAAAATCAATTTCTTCTCTAGGGGGTCAAAACAGCCTGGCCTCACCCTGATTGTTTGGCTATCTAAAAGAGCAGCCAGGGAGAAGCGAGTCTCAGAACATCAGGATTAAGAATAAGTAGATATATAGCCACCAGAGTTGAAGCTGAAACTTTGCCGTCATAAAGCGTCCACCTTCAGGGCTCTTTTCTCCGAAGAGACCTGGCAGATAAAGGCTGTCCCAAACAGGTATCTATGAACACTGCCTTCCACGAGGCCTCGGGGTATTGGTGTGTGCATTGTAACACTCTTGCTTTGATGGAATTTAGTTACCACCAATCGCTGCCCCCTCTGCTTTGTGCCAGTGGATTTAGACACTGGGGCAAGGACCACAGGAGATGGCAAGAGAAGTGGGCCACACTGAGAGGCATTTGATCCCCAGTGCCCTTCTGTGTTAATAAATGACAATGGAATAAGGGGTGGATGTGGAGGGAACAGATCCATTCTTCCCTGGCTCAGAGACAGCCCCTGCCTTCTGAACCACCATATGGTTCCTTCTTCTCACACTGGCCTGACAAGCACATGGAAGGTAAACATCAGGCTATGAGCTGTCCAGCATTCCCCTTTGTTGGATACACATTTGAAACGTTTTGAGATGGTTGGTTAATCTGTTTGGATAGCCTGTGTTGCCTTCTTTGGTTAAATCAGATTTTTTTTAAGGTTAGTCCTCTCTGTAGCAATGACCATGGGAGATAAAAAGCGAAGCTTCCCCCTCAAAGGCACTTGCCCTCCAATAGCCCCACAATGTTAATGAGTGACCCAGGAGGCGAGGGAGGAGGAGAAGAAGATTGGGAGGAATAAGCAGCCTCCCTCGTGGCTCCCCGGACTCAGAGACAGCCCCTACCATCATCCCAGCAGGTTCTCAGGACTCTCCGCCAAAGCACCATGAAGTTCTTCGTCCTCACACTGGCCTTGGTCATCCTGACGGGTGAGTGGAAGGTCAACATCAGGCTAGCAGCTGCCTTGTGTTCCACCTTTTGGGGTGCAAATTTAGCAAGATAGATATCTGTTGGACACTGAGATCCAGCGCCGAGGGCCTTCTGGCGGTTCCCTCATTGCGAGAAGTGAGCTTACAGGGAACCAGGCAGAGGGCCTTTTGGTAGTGGCGCCCGCCCTGTGGAATGCCCTCCCTTCAGATGTGAACTATCTTATCTTTCAAAGACATCTGAAGGCAGCCCTGTTTAGGGAAGTTTTTAATATTTAATGCTGTATTGTTTTTAACACTCGATTAGAAGTCGCCCAGAGCGGCTGGGGAAACTCAGCCAGATGGTCGGGGTATAAATATTATTATTATTATTATTATTATTATTATTATTATTACGGCTAAACTGAAGCTCCACGTTCAGAGGCTGGGAGACAAAGAACAGACTGGGCAAAATGGGTCTTTAGTCTGATCAGCCAAGGCTTAAAGCACTTAATATGACTTCCCCTCCCTCTGCTAACCTGCCCCTGCCTAAGGGTTCCCTTTGACAAAGATGACAACAGAAGCTGCCGGAACTGTCTGCAGTCCGGTGAGCTGTGCGGTTGTCTTCTCAGTCCGGCTGCTAAGCATTGATGGGCAACGCCAAGAGCCCTGAAGCTCTCTCCCTTCTCAGGGTTCTTTCAACTGAACCTGGACCACACAGTCATTCAGGTATTCTCTGTGAAGTAGGACATACATTCGCCCTACTGTACTCACAGTGTAGGAAGAGCTCCAAAGATTTCCTAGGGTGCTGCCACTTAGAGGAATCACTTTGGGGAAACTCGCATGCAGAGTGTCATGACAAGGAAGCTCTTACTGCAAACGACCACTGCAAGAAGTTAAGGCTGCAAGGGCGCGTACATGTTGGTTGGCATTTGGGCTGCTTCAACTGCCCCTCAGTTGTGCCCCAATGTAAGGAGGGCCTTCAGTTCGTATGATCAAATCCTGTCTTGTCCACCTTCTTGGTGTCGCACATTTCAAATGTCCTAGACGTGGCTTTGTGGGAGCAAAGTCCGTTCTGCAAATCACTGTTGGGGGGTCAATAGCCAACAACCGTAGAGGCTGATCTCTTTCGTTTGCTGGCAGACCAAGTTGTGTGTGGGGCTGTGTGCTTTGTGGCATCTACCGTACTTTTTTGCTCTATAAGACTCACTTTTTCCCTCCTAAAAACTTAGTGGAAATGTGTGTGCGTCTTATGGAGCGAATATAGGCTGCGCAGCTATCCCAGAAGCCAAAACAGCAAGAGGGATTGCTGCTTTCACTGCGCAGCGATCCCTCTTACTGTTCTGGCTTCTGAGATTCAGAATATTTCTTGTTTCTTGTTTTCCTCCTCCAAAAACTAGGTGCGTCTTGTGGTCTGGTGCGTCTTATAGAGCGAAAAAGACGGTATTTCCTGAGGATGTGCTAGCAGGCCAAACTGGGGAGGGTGATCAATAGGGAAAAGGAAAATACCCCTTCAGTCTGTACTATTTCCAGAAGAACAAAACTATGTAAGAACTGGCTGGGATCCTATTTAGGTTCTCTGACACACAGCTGGAACCACAGGGCTTGTGTTTTAGAAACCTCATGTCCCCATTTTAGACAGAGAGTTATAATCCAGTGTTGGGAACAGTGCCAGATTTACGTATAAGCTAAACAAGCTATAGCTTAGGGCCCCACTCTCTTGGGGGCCACCCAAAAATTTAAAGGAAAAAAAACCTGGATGTGTATTTCCAAAATATAAGAGAAAAAAAGAAATAAAATAAAACCTACATACGGCAACAGTGTTTTGTGTTGTGTATGGACCTACTAGGTCCATAAATTACCATATAGCATTTATTCAACGGGACGCGGGTGGCGCTATGGGTAAAACCTCAGTGCCTAGGACTTGCTGATCGTATGGTCGGCGGTTCGAATCTCCGCGGTGGGGTGAGCTCCCGTCGTTTGGTGCCAGCTCCTGCCCACCTAGCAGTTCGAAAGCACCCCTAAGTGCAAGTAGATAAATAGGTACCGCTTTATAAGCGGGAAGGTAAACGGCGTTTCTGTGTGCGGCACTGGTGCTGGCTCACCAGTGCAGCTTCGTCACGCTGGTCACGTGACCCGGAAGTGTCTTCGGACAGTGCCGGCTCCCGGCCTCTTGAGTGAGATGAGCGCACAACCCTAGAGTCGGTCACGACTGGCCCATACGGACGGGGTACCTTTACCTTTGCCTTTTATATATCCATCACAAAAAACAGAGACAATTTGTTGTTGACAAAGGACAGCTGGACATATAAAGGGCCCCATTGCCTTCAGTAGCTGAGGGCCTCATCAAACCTAAATCCGGCCCTGGGTGGGAAGCCACTCCATAGATCTAGAAAGTGATTATTCCACAGGGAGTATTGTTAGCGAAGTGGCCCAGAGGCACAAGCCCCAGGTGTTTTGTGCCACACCTGGAACCACCTGTGCCCGAAGTGTCTGCTCCTTTCCCTGGTAACAATACTAGACCATATTTCAGCCTCAGCTCCCGCACAGACAGCATCTGTAATTACACCATTTCCCACATAAAATAAGGGACCTGACTGAGAAATAACATAAACCAGTGTTTCCCAAGTGGGGCCCCCAGGATATTCCTAGGAATAGCTGTCAACGTTTCCCTTTTTTAAAGGGAAATTCCCCGTATTCCGAATATGATTCCTCGCAAGGAAAGGGAAAAGCTGACAGCTATGTTCCGGGGGGGGGGGGCGGGCACAGGTGAAATTTGTGTAAATGGTTGGGGCACAGCATGAGGCTAGAGGGAAGTGAGAATTGAAGGGAAACAATAATTTTTTTAAAAAATCCCTGATTGGATGTCTATCTGCCTCGCCAATCACAAGCGGGTAAGGGGGACCCACCAGGGCCTAGCGCTCCTTTTTGCCACGTGTGTTTTCTTGGAGCAGTCCTGGTTTGCTTCAGGCGGGCCCATTAGTGCCCACGATCCAGAACCCCCCAGGTCAGGTAAGTGCGGTGGTGGGGTGGCAACGGGTAAGGCTGGGCGAGCCGGATGCTGCCGCCACTGCTGGGCCTGGTGGCAGCCTGGGCCTGACTCTGCAAGGTGCTGACTTGCATCTGTAAAGGGTAAAGGGGACCCCTGACCATTAGGTCCAGTCGTGGCCGACTCTGGGGTTGCGGCGCTCATCTCGCTTTATTGGCCGAGGGAGCTGGCGTACAGCTTCCGGGTCATGTGACCAGCATGACTAAGCCACTTCTGGCAAACCAGAGCAGCGTTTACCTTCCCGCCGGAGCGGTACCTATTTATCTACTTGCACTTTGACGTGCTTTCGAACTGCTAGGTTGGCAGGAGCTGGAACCGAGCAACGGGAGCTCACCCCGTCACGGGGATTTGAACCGCCAACCTTCTGATCGGCAAGTCCTAGGCTCTGTGGTTTAACCCACAGCGCCACCCATGTCCCATGAGTTGCATCTAGTACATAACTAAGTCTGCTGACTTGCATCTAGAAAATAACTAAGTCTCTACTTGGAAGGAAGCCGCACTGAGTTCAGTGGGCCATACTCCCAGGTAAAGGTGTGTGGGGCTATAGAGTTTTATCAAGGCAGCCAGGGCTACTCCGGATAACAAGATCTTTTTGCAGCAGGTCAGTGAGGACCACTTTCTTTTTAAAATTCTCCCATGTATACAGAACTCCCTGTGCACCTTTTGCCCAATATCTGTAGTTTCCCCCTCTGTGTCAAATAACGGGTGTTCTGCTCCCACAGAATACCCTTGGGGTCCCTTCCATCCCCATGATTCTATGTTTTTCTGCTTCAACAATATTTTATTATCTTCCTATCATTTTATGTAATTTTCTAAAAATTATTAAAATTATAAATGAAACATGTTGTACTGAAAAACAAAACATTTAAATAGCTGCTTTTCTTACCAGTAGACAGGAGGGGGCATGGGCATAGCCAGGATTTGGGGGGGGGGGTTGGAGCATCAGATTTGCATTGATTTTTACTTATTGGGGGGGCAGCTGCCCCCCTGGGCTACATCCATTTGGGGGGGGTGTGCGGTGCCACAGGAAGTAAACAAGGTCAGAAAAAGCCATGGCCAGAAAAGGGTTGGGAAATATTGACATAAACTATTTTGTTTCTACCTTTCTTGAGGGGGGAATGAGGCACCAGCCCTAACAAAGACCTTCTAATTTAGACCCTCAAACATTAAAGAAAGGATTCTATATGTGAAGCTTGGTGTATGAGTTGCAGCTTGGTGTACCAAACAGGCTTGGCACTTCCTGCAGTGGACGGTGCAATGCAGAATTATTATTTTTTGGGACTTCTAGGGACTTGGGCTTCTGTTCTCCGAGACGAGCCGGATTCCAAGCTGGAGAAGCTAATCCAACAGGGAAGAGAAGATGCCAATAAATTCACCGAAACATTGTTTGGGAAACTCACCATCGTTGACAGAACAGAGGAGGGCCGGGAGATTTCGTAAGCAAATTAGACTCGTTTCCGCTCTGCGCTGCTCTCTTCCCATGTAGAAAAGAGGAGATGTTATTTCTAGAGAATAGATGGATGGAAGTGATGCCGGCATAACATTCTGGGGTTGGGGAAGGTATGGGAGCTGAACTACTGGATTCTGAGCCAGCCCCACTGCCACCACTTCACCCCATGGCTTGGCCCCTGGGTCCCTGTACCTTCCCCTCCCACTGTGGGCAGCATGTGTGGCAGGGCTGAGGGTATAACAGGTGACACACACTGCTACATGAAGCCCCTCAGGCAGCAGAGAGGGAATCCTCCTCAGAACAGAGTCTTAAAATCCTGGGTATTTGAACAGAAATCTTGGATAGCGACAGCTCAAGCCACTTTGACTCAGGATGGTGCCTCCCCTTCGGCAGATGGGCAGATCCAGTGAACCCTCCCAGGAAGGCTCTCTCCCCACTTAAGCGAGGAGAAACAGGTGCAGGCAAAGCCATGTGGGACTGCCCCACCTGACAAGGAAGGGAGGCTGCCCCTTAAACCCAGGGGCTTCCCACTCAGTGAAAGAGGCCTGCCTACTGTGACTATGCAGGTCCAAGCAGGTTTTCATTTGTCCCACCCAGGGCCAGATTTAGGTTTGATGAGGCCCATAGCTACTGAAGGTAATGGAGCCCCTTATATGTCCACAACAAATTGTCCAAATTGTCAACAACAAATTGTCAGTTTTTTGTGTTGAATATACAGTCATACCTCGGGTTACAGACACTTCAGGTTGCGTTTTTTCGGGTTATGGACCGCCGAAACCCGGAAGTACCGGAACAGGTTACTTCCGGGTTTCGGTGGCCGCGCATGCGCAGAAGCGCTGAATCGCAACCCACGTGTGCACAGATTTAGCTTACCACTAAATCAGAACAAACATCAATCCACAGAAAAACTATTGACACTTGTACCAGTTCAGGGGTAAACAGCAGTGGGACAAGCAGGTGTTTGGACGATCCCAAACCCTCCTTTTCCCTTCTGAAACCTTTCCAATTCTCTGTTCTTTTTCCCCCCTACAGGAAATTTCTTGAGTATGTCTCTAGGAATATTAGCAGGCGCTTGGATAGCCTGCAGGAAGAGTTACCTGATGAGGTCGTGGAAGCTTTTGATCTGGTTTTCGGGGTGCCATACCAGGTTGCGGAGAAGGCTATCACTGCCCTGTTTGACCTGCAGAGACATAGAAGGCATAACATAGAAGAGCTTGGCAAAGCATTGCAATCTGCCCTGGCGGGTTACGTGGACCCCGTCCTGGAGAGGGTGGGTCCGTACGCAGCAACCGTGCGCAGTGCCGTCGTCGCCAGAGCTCAGGAGATCAACCATGAGATAGATGAGAAGCTGCCGCAGCAAATGCAAGCTCTGAGAACCCAGTTGGAACAGCACATTAAGAAGCTGCAAGAATTGCAGGCAACCCTTCAGCCTTATCTTGACCACATCCAGCAGCTGATCAGAAAAGGAGCGGAGACGATCCACAAGCACTTACTGAAGCCGTACATTGGTCCCATTGTGCAGTTGCACCAAAAGTACAAAAAGGACTTTAGGACGTGGTCTAGAGCCCCAGTGTTTTCCTCAAATCCATGATTATTTCTCTCACATGTATATGAGGAAGCAATCTCCCCCAGCATCTAAAGAGAGATCAGAAGGGAAAAGCTTACATTGGTTTTTGTGTCTTCAAGACCTTGTCTGGGAGGTAGGGCAGGTGTGCAAGTCTTCTCCAGATGGGATAATAAAGGAGACGTTCCTAACAACCTCTGTTCGATGCGTGGCCTGTTTCTCTTTAACCCTCCTCCTTCTGTTGGCTGTTGTACCTGCTTTGGCTTATTTCCTCCTTCATCCCAAGCCATTTTATTTCTGTGCTATGTCTTTTTTTAAAAAGAAATTCGTGTCCAAGGACAGGGACTGATAGATGGGGTGCCTGTTTCCCCTCAACTGTCTTCTTGCTGTTGCTGTTGCAAAGCCATCTTCTTCTCAGAAGCAGAAGTGAAGGGCTCCAATACACCTGTAATCCAATATGTGGATTATGTTGTACCTATAACAGTTGGGTAGGGGGAGCTCAGCCTCCTTGGCCTGTGCAGGAGAAATGAGGAGGGGTCGCTTTGACTCTCCCTACCATAAAGCTACTCTTTGTGTTTCAAAGGAAGCCTTCATTGGCACAAGTGACTGGAGGGTCTCCTGGAACCAGCACCTTGTTTCGTGTTTACTGGTTGCTAATCTTCACTGGAATACCAGGAGATACATTATATGTCCTTTGGTGCTTTCTTCCCTAAAAGATCCTGACCACTACAAACTACCAACGTATCAGGGAACTGAGACACTCCCCCACCCCACCCCCAAACAGTCTTGCCATGGAGATAGAGCTGGGTCTATGAATTCCCATGTGTCAATAGATACTTCTTCTTTGGCGGTCACTCATAGCCGAATAAGATTGTCTTCCATAAACACGGTTTTAGCAATGAGTCTGTAAGTGACTGTGGAGGCCAATTCGGGATCCACACATCCTTCCACAGTGGGGACATAGTTTTCTGGGCGGGAGTTGATCACGGTGTGGGTTTGCCAAACTGTGACTTCCTCTCAGCATGTTTCTCCCTTTTGTCCTGACTTTGAGCATCTTCAAAGCCCATGACACCTTAGGTAAAGGCTATTCTCCAATTGGAGCGCTCGCAAGCAAGTGTTTCCCAATTGCTGGTGTTTATACTACATTTTTAAAAAAATTGCCTTGAGACAATCTTTAAACCTCTTTTGTTGACCACCGGCATTATGCTTTCCATTTTTAAGTTCGGAATAGAGTAGTTGTTTTGGAAGACGATAATCAGGCATCTGCACAACATGACCAGTCCAATGAAGTTGATGTTGAAGAATCACTGGTGATCTTTGCTTCTCCCAGTACACTTGTATTAGTTTGCCAGTCTTCCCAAGTGATGCGTAAATTTTTTTGGAGACACCGTTGATGGAATCTTTCAAGGAGTTGGAGATAGCCTTTATAAGTGGTCCATGTTGCACAAGCATACAGTAAGGTTGGTAGTACAATAGCTTTGTAAACAAGTCTATAGATACCCTATGCCAGTGCCCTATGTTAACAAATGACATCCTCTTCAGGGATAGTTTGCTCCAATCAGAGTGATCAGAATGAGCTCAGGCTATAGAACCTAAGAATATCAGGATGATAGAGGGGGTATTTTAACATTAGATGATCTGAGCTGACGGTGACTGACTAGGAACGAGACCTTGAAGTCATAGTGCAAAGCTTGATGAAGATATTGACCCAGGGTGTGGCAACCAAAAAGACCAATTCAGGGCTAGGGATCATTAGGAAAGGAATTCAAAACTTAAGATACCATAATAACATTATACAAATCTATGGTGTGACCATATTTGGAACACAGTGGTACCTCGGGTTACATACGCTTCAGGTTACAGACTCCGCTAACCCAGAAATATTACCTCAGGTTAAGAACTTTGCTTCACGATGAGAACCGAAATCGTGCTCTGGCGGCACAGCAGCAGGAGGAGGCCCCATTAGCCTCCTGCTCTACCTCTCTTTCAAATCAGAACCAGTGAAGGCGGTGAAGGTCCTGTGTGAGTGCCTGGAGGCGGTTGGAGGATGGATGGCGGCTAATGGATTGAAGTTGAATCCTGACAAGACAGGAGTACTGATTTTGGGGGACAGGGGACGGGCAGGTGTGGAGGACTCCCTGGTCCTGAATATGGTAACTGTACCCCTGAAGGACCAGGTGCGCAGCCTGGGAGTCATTTTGGACTCACAGCTGGCCATGGAGGCACAGGTCAATTCTGTATCCAGGGCAGCTGTCTACCAACTCCACCTGGTACGCAGGCTGAGACCCTACCTGCCCGCGGACTGTCTCGCCAGAGTGGTGCAAGCTCTAGTTATCTCCCGCTTGGACTACTGCAATGCGCTCTACGTGGGGCTACCTTTGAAGGTGACTCGGAAACTACAACTAATCCAGAATGCAGCAGCTAGACTGGTAACTGGGGGCGGCCGCCGAGACCACATAACACCGGTCTTGAAAGACCTACATTGGCTCCCAGTACGTTTCCGAGCACAATTCAAAGTGCTGGTGTTGACCTTTAAAGCCCTAAACAGCCTCGGCCCAGTATACCTGAAGGAGCGTCTCCACCCCTATCGTTCTGCCCGGACTTTGAGGTCCAGCTCCGAGGGCCTTCTGGCGGTTCCCTCACTGCGAGAAGCAAAGCTACAGGGAACCAGGCAGAGGGCCTTCTCGGTAGTGGCGCCCGCCCTGTGGAACGCCCTCCCATCAGATGTCAAAGTGATAAATAACTACCTGACATTTAGAAGACATCTTAAGGCAGCCCTGTTCAGGGAAGTTTTTCATCTGTGATATTTTACTGTATTTTTGTTTCTATGGAAGCCGCCCAGAGTGGCTGGGGAAACCCAGCCAGATGGGCGGGGTACAAATAATAAATATTTTTATTATTATTATTATTATTATTATTATTATTATTATTATTATAGCTGAAGTGGTGCTTCAGGTTAAGAACAGTTTCAGGTTAAGAATGGACCTCCGGAACGAATTAAGTACTTAACCCAAGGTACCACTGTACTGTGTACAGTTCTGGTTGCCTCACCTTAAAAATGATTTTCAAGTGTTGGAAAAGGTTCTGGAAGGGACATTAAAAAAACATATGGTCACAGTCTCTTAGCATAGCCTACCTCGCACGGTTGTTGTGACTATAAAATGGTCCAGTCATGCCACCCTGAGCTCCTTGGAGGAAAGGCATTTATAAGTTTCTATGGCATTTGGGGGGGGGGAGTGTCAAAAATCAATTTCTTCTATGGGGTCAAAACAGCCTGGCCTCACCCTGATTGTTTGGCTATCTAAAAGAGCAGCCAGGGAGAAGCGAGTCTCAGAACATCAGGATTAAGAAGCAAGTAGATATATAGCCACCAGAGTTGAAGCTGAAACTTTGCCGTCATAAAGCGTCCACCTTCAGAGCTCTTTTCTCCGAAGAGACCTGGCAGATAAAGGCTGTCCCAAACAGGTATCTATGAACACTGCCTTCCACGAGGCCTCGGGGTATTGGTGTGTGCATTGTAACACTCTTGCTTTGATGGAATTTAGTTACCACCAATCGCTGCCCCCTCTGCTTTGTGCCAGTGGATTTAGACACTGGGGCAAGGACCACAGGAGATGGCAAGAGAAGTGGGCCACACTGAGAGGCATTTGATCCCCAGTGCCCTTCTGTGTTAATAAATGACAATGGAATAAGGGGTGGATGTGGAGGGAACAGATCCATTCTTCCCTGGCTCAGAGACAGCCCCTGCCTTCTGAACCACCATATGGTTCCTTCTTCTCACACTGGCCTGACAAGCACATGGAAGGTAAACATCAGGCTATGAGCTGTCCAGCATTCCCCTTTGTTGGATACACATTTGAAACGTTTTGAGATGGTTGGTTAATCTGTTTGGATAGCCTGTGTTGCCTTCTTTGGTTAAATCAGATTTTTTTTAAGGTTAGTCCTCTCTGTAGCAATGACCATGGGAGATAACAAGCGAAGCTTCCCCCTCAAAGGCACCTGCCCTCCAATAGCCCCACAATGTTAATGAGTGACCCAGGAGGCGAGGGAGGAGGAGAAGAAGATTGGGAGGAATAAGCAGCCTCCCTCGTGGCTCCCCGGACTCAGAGACAGCCCCTACCATCATCCCAGCAGGTTCTCAGGACCCTCCGCCAAAGCACCATGAAGTTCTTCGTCCTCACACTGGCCTTGGCCATCCTGACAGGTGAGTGGAAGGTCAACATCAGGCTAGCAGCTGCCTTGCATTCCACCTTTTGGGGTGTAAATTTAGCAAGATAGATATCTGTTGGACACTGAGATCCAGCGCCGAGGGCCTTCTGGCGGTTCCCTCATTGCGAGAAGTGAGCTTACAGGGAACCAGGCAGAGGGCCTTTTGGTAGTGGCGCCCGCCCTGTGGAATGCCCTCCCTTCAGATGTGAACTATCTTATCTTTAAAAGACATCTGAAGGCAGCCCTGTTTAGGGAAGTTTTTAATATTTAATGCTGTATTGTTTTTAACACTCGATTGGAAGTCGCCCAGAGCGGCTGGGGAAACTCAGCCAGATGGGCAGGGTATAAATATTATTATTATTATTATTATTATTATTATTATTATTATTATGGCTAAACTGAAGCTCCACGTTCAGAGGCTGGGAGACAAAGAACGGACTGGGCAAAATGGGTCTTTAGTCTGATCAGCCAAGGCTTAAAGCACTTAATATGACTTCCCCTCCCTCTGCTAACCTGCCCCTGCCTAAGGGTTCCCTTTGACAAAGATGACAACAGAAGCTGCCGGAACTGTCTGCAGTCCGGTGAGCTGTGCGGTTGTCTTCTCAGTCCGGCTGCTAAGCATTGATGGGCAACGCCAAGAGCCCTGAAGCTCTCTCCCTTCTCAGGGTTCTTTCAACTGAACCTGGACCACACAGCCATTCAGGTATTCTCTGTGAGGTAGGACATAGGTTCGCCCTACTGTACTCACAGTGTAGGAAGAGCTCCAAAGATTTCCTAGGGTTCTGCCACTTAGAGGAATCACTTTGGGGAAACTCGCATGCAGAGTGTCATGACAAGGAAGCTCTTACTGCAAACAACCACTGCAAGAAGTTAAGGCTGCAAGGGCGCGTACATGTTGGGTCGCATTTGGCCTGCTGCTACTGCCCCTCAGTTGTGTCGCAATATAGGGAGGGCCTTGAGTTCATCTGCTCAAATCATGTCCTGTCCACCTTCCTGGTGTCTCTCGTTCCAAAAGTCCTAGATGTGGCTTTGAGGCAGCAAAGTCCATTCTGCAAATCACTGTTGGAGGGTCAATAGCCAACGACTGTAGAGGGCTGATCTCTTTCCTTTGCTGGCAGACCAAGTTGTGTGGGGGGTTGTGTGCTTTGTGGGGTCTATTTCCTGAGGATGTGCTAGCAGGCCAAGCTGGGGAGGGTGATCTATAGGGAAACTGTATATACCCCTTCAGTCTGTACTATTTCCAGAAGAACAAAACTATGTAAGAACTGGCTGGGATCCTATATGGGTTCTCTGACAAGCGGCTGGGACCACAGACCTTGTGTTTTAGAAACCTCATGTCCCCATTTTAGAGAGAGAGCTATAATCCAGTGTTGGGAACTGTGCCGCATTTACGTATAAGCTAAACAAGCTATAGCTTAGGGCCCCACTCTCTTGGGGGCCACCCAAAAATTTAAAGGAAAAAAAACCTGGATGTATATTTCCAAAATATAACAAAAAAAGAAATAAAATAAAACCTACATACGGCAACATTTTGTGTGTGTTGTGTACGGACCTATTAGGTCCATAAATTACCATATAGCATATATTCAACACAAAAAAACAGTGACCATTTGTTGTTGACAAAGGACAGCTGGACATATAAAGGGCTCCATTACCTTCAGTAGCTGAGGGCCTCATCAAACCTAAATCCGGCCCTGGGTGGGAAGCCACTCCATAGATCTAGAAAGTGATTATTCCACAGGGAGTGTTGTTAGCGAGTGGCCCAGAGGCACAAGCCCCAGGTGTTTTGTGCCACACCTGGAACCACCTGTGCCCGAAGTGTCTGCTCCTTTCCCTGGTACCAATACTAGACCATATTTCAGCCTCAGCTCCCGCACAGACAGCATCTGTAATTACACCATTTCCCACATAAAATAAGGGACCTGACTGAGAAATAACATAAACCAGTGTTTCCCAAGTGGGGCCCCCAGGATATTCCTAGGAATAGCTGTCAACGTTTCCCTTTTTTTAAGGGAAATTCCCTTATTCCCAATAGGATTCCTCGTAAGAAAAGGGAAAAGTTGACAGCTATGTTCCGGGGGGGGGCGGCACATGTGAAATTGGTGTAAATAAGGCTAGAGGGAAGTAAGAAGTGAAGGGAAACATATTTTTTTTAAAAAATCCCTGATTGGATGTCTATCTGCCTCGCCAATCACAAGCGGGTAAGGGGGACCCACCAGGGCCTAGCGCTCCTTTTTGCCGCGTGTGTTTTCTTGGAGCAGTCCTGGTCTGCTTCAGGCAGGACCAGCAGAGCCCAGGATCCAGACCCCCCCCCCCCGGGTCAGGTAAGTGCGGTGGTGGGGTGGCAACGGGTAAGGCTGGGCGTGCTGGATGCTGCTGCCAGTGCTAGGCCCGGTGGCAGCCTGGGCCTGACTCCGCAAGGTGCTGACTTGCATCTAGTACATAACTAAGTCTGCTGGCTTGCATCTAGAAAATAACTAAGTCTCTACTTGGAAGAAAGCTGCACTGAGTTCAGTGGGCCGTACTCCCAGGTAAAGGTGTGCGGGGCTATAGTGTTTTATCTAGGCAGCCAGGGCTACTCCGGATAACAAGATCTTTTTGCAGCAGGTCAGTGAGGACCACTTGCTTTTTAAAATTCTCCCATATATACGGAACTCCCTGTGCACCTTTTGCCCAATATCTGTAGTTTCCCCTACAGAAACTACAGAATACCCTTGGGGTCCCTTCCATCCCCATGATTCTATGTTTTTCCGCTTCAACAATATTTTATTATCTTCCTATCATTTTATGTAATTTTCTAAAAATTATTAAAATTATAAATGAAACATGTTGTATTGAAAAACAAAATATTTAAATAGCTACTTTTCTTACCAGTAGACGGGAGGGGGCATGGGTATAGCCAGGATTTGGGGGGGGTGGAGCATCAGATTTGCATTGATTTTTACTTATTGGGGGGCAGCTGCTCCCCTGGCCTACATCCATGGGGGGAGGGGGTGCCACAGGAAGAAAACAAGGTCGGAAAAGGCCATGGCCAGAAAAGGGCTGGGAAATATTGACATAAACTATTTTGTTTCTACCTTTCTTGAGGGGGGAATGAGGCACCAGCCCTAACAAAGACTTTCTAATTTAGAGCCTCAAACATTAAAGACAGGATTCTATATGTGAAGCTTTGAGTTGCAGCTTGGTGTACCAAACAGGCTTGGCGCTTCCTGCAGTGGACGGTGCAATGCAGAATTATTATTTTTTGGGACTTCTAGGGACTTGGGCTTCTGTTCTCCGAGATGAGCCAGATTCCAAGCTGGAGAAGCTAATCCAACAGGGAAGAGAAGATGCCAATAAATTCATCAAAACATTGTTTGGGAAACTCGCCTTCGTTGACAGAACAGAGGAGGGCCGGGAGATTTCGTAAGCAAATTAGACTCGTTTCCGCTCTGCGCTGCTCTCTTCCCATGTAGAAAAGAGGAGATGTTATTTCTAGAGAATAGATGGATGGAAGTCATAACATTCTGGGGTTGGGGAAGGTATGGGAGCTGAACTACTGGATTCTGAGCCAGCCCCACTGCCACCACTTCACCCCATGGCTTGGCCCCTGGGTCCCTGTACCTTCCCCTCCCACTCTGGGCAGCATGTGTGGCAGGGCTGAGGGTATAACAGGTGACACACACTGCTACATGAAGCCCCTCAGGCAGCAGAGAGGGAATCCTCCTCAGAACAGAGTCTTAAAATCCTGGGTGTTTGAACAGAAATCTTGGATAGCGACATCTCAAGCCACTTTGACTCAGGATGGTGCCTCCCCTTCGGCAGATGGGCAGATCAAGTGAACCCTCCCAGGAAGGCTCTCTCCCCACTTAAGGCGAGGAGAAACAGGTGCAGGCAAAGCCATCCTGACAAGGAAGGGAGGCTGCCCCTTAAATCCAGGGGCTTCCCACTCAGTGAAAGAGGCCTGCCTACTGTGACTATGCAGGTCCAAGCAGGTTTTCATTTGTCCCACCCAGGGCCAGATTTAGGTTTGATGAGGCCCATAGCTACTGAAGGTAATGGAGCCCCTTATATGTCCACAACAAATGGTCAGCAACAATTTTTCGTGATGAATATACAGTCATACCTCGGGTTACAGACGCTTCAGGTTGCTTTTTTTCGGGTTATGGACCGCCGAAACCCGGAAGTACTGGAACAGGTTACTTCCGGGTTTCAGCGGTCATGCATGCGCAGAAGCGTCAAATCGCAACCCACGTGTGTGCAGACGCGCCGCTGCAGGTTGCGAACGTGCATCCCACACGGATCGCGTTCGCTACCCAAGCGTCCACTGTATGCTATATAGTAATTTATAGAACTAATAGGTCCGTACAGAACACAAAACACTGTATGTAGGTTTTATTTTATTTTATTTTTATCTTATATTTTGGAAATGTACATCCAGTTTATTTTCCCTTTAAATTTTTGGGAGGCCCCCAAGAGAGTGGGGCCCTAAGCTGTAGCTTGTTTAGCTTATATGTAGATATGGCACTGTCGCTTTCCCTAGAAAAACCGACTGCTTACCACTAAATCAGAACAAACATCAATCCACAGAAAAACTATTGACACTTGTACAGTGGTGCCTCGCAAGACGAAATTAATCCGTTCCGCGAGTCTCTTCGTCTTGCGGTTTTTTCGTCTTGCGAAGCACGGCCATTAGCAGCTTAGCGGCTATTAGCGGCTTAGCGGCTATTAACGGCTTAGCGGCTTTAAGAAAAAGGAAACAAACTCGCAAGAACTCGCAAGACTTGCGAAGGTCTTGCGAAGCAAGCCCATAGGGAAATTTGTCTTACGGAACGACTCAAAAAACGGAAAACTCTTTCGTCTTGCGCGTTTTTTCGTCTTGCGAGGCATTCGTCTTGCGAGGTACCACTGTACCAGTTCAGGGGTAAACAGCAGTGGGACAAGCAGGTGTTTGGATGATCCCAAACCCTCCTTTTTCCTTCTTAAAGCTTTCCAATTCTCTGTTCTTTTTTTCCCCTACAGGAAATTTCTTGAGTATGTCTATAGGAATTTCAGCAGGCGCTTGGATACCCTGGGGAAAGAGTTACCTGATGAGGTTGTGAAAGCTGTTGATCTGGTTTTGGGGGTGCCATACCAGGTTGCGGAAAAGGCTATCACTGCCCTGTTTGACCTGCAGAGACATAGAAGGCATAACTTAGAAGCATTGCAATCTGCCCTGGCGGGTTACGTGGACCCCGTCCTGGAGAGGGTGGGTCCGTACGCAGCAACCGTGCGCAGTGCCGTCGTTGCCAGAGCTCAGGAGATCAACCGTGAGATAGATGAGAAGCTGCCGCAGCAAGTGCAAGCTCTGAGAACCCAGCTGGATCCAGACATTAAGAAGCTGCGAGAATTGCAGGCAACCCTTCAGCCTTATCTTGATCACATCCAGCAGCTGATCAGAAAAGGAGCGGAGACGATCCACAAGCACTTACTGAAGCCGTACGTTGATCCCATTGTGCAGTTGCACCAAAAGTACAAAAAGGACTTTAGGGCATGGGCTAGAGCCCCAGTGTTTTTCCCAAATCCATGATTATTTCTCTCACATGTATACGAGGAAGGAATCTCCCCCAGCATCTAAAGAGAGATCAGAAGGAAAAAGCTTACATTGGTTTTTGTGTCTTCATGACCTTGGCTGGGAGGTAGGGCAGGTGTGCAAGTCTTCTCCAGACGGGATAATAAAGGAGACGTTCCTAACAACCTCTGTTCGATGCGTGGCCTGTTTCTCTTTAACCCTCCTCCTTCTGTTGGCTGTTGGAAATACATCTTCTTCACACAAGCAAAAGTGAAGCGCTCTCAATACACCTGTAAGCCAACACGTGGGTTATGTTGTGCACATAATATATTATAATAATAATTTATTATTTATACCCCGCCCATCTGGCTTGACTACCCCAGCCACTCTGGGCAGCTTCCAACAAAATATTAAACTACAGTAATGCATCAAACATTAAAAGCTTCCCTAAACAGGGCTGCCTTCAGGAGGAGTCCCTTTCGCTTTCCCTACCCTTAAGCTGCTCCTTGAGTTTCAGGGGAGGCCTTCATTGGCCCAGGTGAATAGAGGGCTTCCTGGAAACAGCACATTTGGAGAGACCTTGGGACTCAGGCAAGGGAGGTAGGTAGAGCCCACCTTTCCTCTTCCCCTCCATTCTCTTGAGGCAGTGCAGGTTTACACACACACACACACACCAACTATCAATAGGCAACACCAATTGCATCCTGCTGTAGCAGATGAAGGAAGGGATGCATGTACGCAGTTGAGAGTCCAGCTGGTCACTGGAAGAACCTGCACCCCAAAACCAGTACCTGCTTTGGCTTATTTCCTCCTTCATCCCAAGCCATTTTATTTCTGTGCTATGTCATTTTTTTAAAAAAAAATTGTGTCCAAGGACAGGGACTGTCTTGTTTTTATTGATCAGTAACCTCTGGTAGGACGCGGGTGGCGCTGTGGGTTAAACCACAGAGCCTAGGACTTGCCAATCGAAAGGCCGGTGGTTCGAATCCCCGCGACGGGGTGAGCTCCCGTTGCTCGGTCCCTGCTCCTGCCAACCTAGCAGTTCGAAAGCACATCAAAGTTCAAGTAGATAAATAGGTACCCCTCTGGCGGGAAACGTGCTCTGGTTCGACAGAAGCAGCTTATTCATGCTGGCCACGTAATCTGAAGCCAGCTCCCTCGGCCAATAAAGCAAGATGAGCGCTGCAACCCCAGAGTCGGCCACGACTGGACCTAATGGTCAGGGGTCCCTTTACCTTTACCTTTAACCTTCTCTGGAATCAATTTTGGGCTGAATGCCAGGTGATACATTACAATAATAATAATAATTTATTATTTAGACCTCGCCCAGCCGGCTGAATTTCCCCAGCCACTCTGGGCAGCTCCCAACAGATTAAAAACAGAATAAAACATCAAACATTAAAAACTTCCCTAAACGGGGCTGCCTTCAGATATCTTCTAAAAGTCAGGTAGTTGTTTATTTCCTTGACATCTGATGGGAGGGTGTTCCACAGGGCAGGCGCCACCACCAAGAAGGCCGTCTGCCTGGTTCCCTGTGGCCTCACTTCTCACAGTGAGGGAATCTCCAGAAGGCCCTCAGAGCTGGACCTCAGTGTCTAGGCAGAACGATGGGGGTGGAGATGCTCCTTCAGGTGTACTGGGCCGAGACCATTTATATAAAAGATCCTGGCTACTACAATCTTCCAACAGATCAAGAAACTGAGAGACACCCCCCCAAAACAATCTCCCTATGGAGATAAAGCAGGGTCTATCGATGATGCAAAACATAGCTTGGTTTCTTCCTATCACCCCCAGGGGTTTGGGACACGGTGTCAACGACCTCAGGGTGGTATACGTAGTAAATTCCTATATGTCTGTAGATCCCCTATGCCGGTGTGATATGTTAACAAATGACTTTCTTTTGAAGGAGCGTTTGCTCCATGTGGAGTGATCCGAGTAAGCTCTGGCCATAGAACCAGAATAGATGTTACCTAAGAATATCAGGATGATGGAGAGGGTATTTTAACATTAGATGATCTAAACTGACTGACCAGGAACAAGACCTTGAAATTGTGGTGGAAATCTTGATGAATATGTTGACCCAGGGGTGTGGCAGCCATAGAATACAGTGTACAGTTTTGGCCACTTCACCTCACAAAGGGTATTGAAAAAATGACAAAGTTTCTGAAAAGGGCAACCAAAATTATCGAGGGGGTGGCGCAACTCCACTATGGGGGAAGCTTCCAGAATTTGGGACTGCTTAAAGGTAAAGGTACCCCTGACCGTTAGGTCCAGTTGTGGACGACACTGGGGTTGCGGCGCTCATCTCTCTCTACAGGCCGAGGAGCCTGCATTTGTCCGCAGGCAGCTTTCTGGGTCATGTGGCCAACATAACTAAGCCGCTTCTGGCGAACCAGAGCAGCACACGGAAACGCCGTTTGCCTTCCCGTCGGAGTGGTACCTATTTATGCACTTTGATGTGTTTTCGAACTGCTAGGTTGGCAGGAGCAGGGACTGAGCAACGGGAGCTCACCCCGTCACGGGGATTCGAACCGCGACCTTTCGATCGGCAAGCCCAAGCGGCACAGTGGTTTAACCTACAGCACCACCCGCGTCCCATTTGGGACTACTTAGTTGAGAGGAAAGGCAAGAAAGAGATGAGATGACAGAGGTTTATACAATTGTGCATGGCATGCAAAAAGGTGAATAGATGCCCCTTGGTATCCACCCATGCCACGTAGTACAACAACACTGTCAGTACTTTCTTCATTACAGGGTCTTGACTCATAAAGTCACTCCAAACTTCCCCAAAAGCAGGGTAGAAAGAAACCCTCTAAACAATATCTAGGCAGGGATAAAGCAGGGGTCTGTGGACATTGCCTGGAGGTTCAGGGATGCTGTCTGTGGATAGTCCTGATGCAACACTGAATGAGAGACGGTGTGGCCTAGTGGTTAGTGTGCTGGACTAGGACCTGGCAGACTAGGATTCTGATCCACACTCCAGCAGTTCACTGGGTGACCTTGAACCAGACATAGCCTCTTAGCCTAGCCTATCTCACAGGGGCATAAAGGATCAGTACCACTAATGGCTTTTAAATCAGTACTGGACATTCAGACAGTGGTTCACCCCAGTCTCTCTCTCTTAGCTCTATAGGTAAAGGTAAAGGGACCCCTGACCATTAGGTCCAGTCGCGGACGACTCTGGGGTTGCGGCGCTCATCTCACTTTATTGGCCGAGGGAGCCGGCGTACAGCTTCCGGGTCATGTGGCCAGCAGGACTAAGCCGCTTTTGGCGAAACACAGCAGCGCACGGAAATGCCATTTACCTTCTCGCCGGAGCGATACCTATTTATCTACTTGCACTTTGACGTGCTTTCAAACTGCTAGGTTGGCAGGAGCAGGGACCGAGCAACGGAAGCTCACCCTGTCATGTGGATTTGAACTGCCATGAGAATAAAATGGGTTTAAGCAGGAAAACCAGTCGTGCCACCTTGAGCTCCATGCAGGAAAGGTGTAATATAAATGTAATAATAAATAAAGTAAATATGCACCTAGCTGGTGTGGAAAGTTTTACAGTCAAAACACAACTGCATGCTTGCTAGTTGGTATATGAAGGGGTTAAGGACCACAGAGTTTGAATTGCTGGAGTAGGCTCAGTCGGGTAGGGAGGAAGTGAGGGAGGAAGTGATGTATTCCTTCTCATCCTTTCCTCATTCTCCTCTTAGCAATGTGAGCCACGGAGGGAGGACATTCCTCACTATAAGCTCCCAACTTCAGACTCATGTCAGAAACTACATTGCTGCATTTCTACCCAATAATATTTTTGACTGCATTTTCTAGTGTTGCTCATAGGACAATGCATGATTGATAATCCTGCATTGCGGGGGGGGGGGGGGGTTGGACTAGATGACCCCCTCCCAGCTGTACAATTTCTATGAGACCTTAAATCTGCAAGTAAATCATTTTTAAACATACTTCAGTGTGTGGTCTATTCATGCAGAAGGGGTAGAAGGAACCTGACACAGGATAAAGAAAGGCTGACTAGCCTATTCCTATGCCTCACGAAACTGCCTGATGATGAGAATTAAATTCTGCTGGGGTGCAGAGAGTCTGCTAAGCTCCATGCTTTGAATACAGGCTTGCAGCCATATTCCTTTGCTCATTGTTCCACACACATGGGTCTACAGAGGAGGAACTATAATTAATAGATCTTCTTTCCAACTCCCATCAGTTGGCCTATGAGTTACAAGATCAGACGGGCCTTTGGTCTGAACTCACAGAACCCTTCCAAAGTTTGTGTGTGGTTTTTAAATTCCTTCATTTTGTTTTAGCAACCCGCCTGCTGTCCTTGGCAAACTGAAGTTCAAGCTCTTTCAAACGTTACCTCTTCCTTTTCGTGCCAGTTGGACGTGGGGGCAATGACTCGAGGTGATGGAACAGGAAGCTCACCCAGCGCCCTGTGTTAATGAATTACAGAATCCGAGGATGGAAGCAATAATTTATTCCCCTCAGAGCACCCCCTGCTCAGATAGCGAGCCCCTGCCTTCACCCTAGCAAGAGGATATTCAGGACCCTCCGCCGAGCCACTATGAAGTTAATTGTCATCACACTGGTCTTGTACCTCTTCACAGGTGAGTGGGTGGTTACCTCAGTCTAGAGGGAAACTCTTAAGTCTCTTTTTTTTTTTTGAGTGGGTGAGCTCCCTGCTTTCTCACGGACTTGGAACATGGAGGTATTATGATTTGGAAGAGCTAAAAGGAGTTGTGTCATGTTTTGGAACAATTTTGCTTAGCCCAAAGTTGCCTGGTTGGTTCTTCAAAGACTTTGGGCACATTCCAAATTGGTCCAGAGGTTACCTATCTCTTCTCGGATCAATAATATTGGCAGAAGTATCAGGCTTTTGGGTTGCACAGGCTCTCTGAAGAACATGGTCCAACTCTGAAACCTGCCACAAACAAACAATATACTGAAAAACCAATGAGATAGGACTATGGAGTTAGCTTCAGAAAGCTTGAGTGGGTTATCAGTTTGCATCCCCTTACTCAAAGGCAACCAGGAGAATAGCAAATAAACTTTTATAGGATTATTCCATTTTATCTTTCCAATAAGGTAGGTTAGGCTGAGAAACTGTGACGTGGCTAAGACCATTCCATGAACTTCATAGCTGAGAGAGGGGTTTGAAGTCCAATATATTACCCACTATAGCATGGGTGGGTGGTGCTGTGGTCTAAACCACAGAGCCTAGGGCTTGCCGATCAGAAGGTCGGCAGTTCGAATCCCCGTGACAGGGTGAGCTCCCATTGTTTGGTCCCAGCTCCTGCCCACCCAGCAGTTCGAAAGCACGTCAAAGTGCAAGTAGATAAATAGGTACCGTTCCGGCAGGAAGGTAAACGGCGTTTCTGTGCGCTGCTCTGGTTCGCCAGAAGCGGCTTAGTCATGCTGGCCATATGACCCGGAAGCTGTCTGTGGACAAACACCAGCTCCCTCGGCCTATAAAGCAAGATGAGTGCGCAACCCCAGAGTCATCCGCGACTGGACCTTACAGTCAGGGGTCCCTTTACCTTTATAGCATGGGCAAATATAGACATAATCTCCAGACTCATGCCAGCACCATACCCAGCAGAAGCCACAGTGATCTATTTCCACTTTTCATTATTAGATATCTATTTCACGTGCAAAGGGTTCAAACAGCTACAGCGTAAGCAAGCCAGCCATTATGATCTCCCTCCCTCATGTACCTGTGTTCAGATGAACATATGAAATGTGCTGAAATCTTCTTTTAACCTTAAGACTGGAGATACAGATCCAATCTGATCTGGACCAAGGTGCAGAATAAGGTTATAGCGTTTTCAAGCATATCCCTTGTAATGTGTCGTTTGGCCTTGAGAGCAACTCAGAGTTCCTGGAAGGGAGGCTGAGGCACCAATATAACAAAATGAGGAAACAATGTCAGCTTTGAAACACCACAACATTGTATGCAGAACCCACAAGCTGATTAAAATAAATACTATTTACGGTTGTCAACAGCTTTGTCTCATGCACCACATAACAAATCATTAAGCTGCTGGTCTAAGTCTGCATATATAGATGTTTAAAAACACAGGAATGTGGTGTGCATTCAAAATCTGAAACATTACGAAGAGAGATACAAAGATCCACTTCTCAGCATCAAGCAACAAATAATGCAGGAGATCCATAAGTCCTGACTTTTTATAGAAGGCTAAAAAGTAGCTGAGAAGGGGGTTTGGTGAACTGGATCAGGACCATGGCACTGGAAAGAAGGTGGAGTTAACAACAACAACAACAACCCCCACAACATATTAGCCCGGGGGGGGGGGGCTGAGGAGAGGCAGGCACAATATTTTAATTATGTTTTTTCAAATTAGGTAAAGGTAAAGGGTAAAGGGACCCCTGACAATTAAGTCCAGTCATGAACGACTCTGGAGTTGTGGTGCTCATCTCTCTTTACTGGCCGAGGGAGCCGGCGTACAGCTTCCGGGTCATGTGGCCAGCATGACTAAGCCGCTTCTGGCGAAACCAGAGCAGTGCATGGAAACGCCATTTACCTTCCCACCAGAGCGGTACTTATTTATCTACTTGCACTGGTGTGCTTTCGAACTGCTACGTTGGCAGCAGCTGGGACCGAACAACGGGAGCTCACCCCGTCGCAGGGATTTGAACCACCGACCTTTCGATCGGCAAGCCTAAGTGACACAGTGGTTTAACCCACAGCATAAACTGGGCCCCAAACTCACGACCTGAGGCTAGGTCTCCAACTCACCTCATGATCAAGCCAGGATTGTCCAATTCCTTCTTGCTGCTCCAGGCTCCAAAAATCCTAGATTTGGGTTTGCTGAGGCAGAGTCCGAATCACATTGTGTTTTTTTTAGGGTCAATAGCCTGGGCCTGTGTAGGCCTAATCTCTTCCTTTGATGCATTGGCAGTGCAACCGTGTGGGGATGGCTGGTGGGGAAAAATCATGACGTCTTTGGTAGAAGTTATCTTTGTAACCTAAAGTACCCTTTCAGCTTAAATTTCTCTTAAGAGGAGCAGATCCCCACAGGCCTGGATTCCTGTATGAATTCTGCAGCACACAGCAGGAACCACAGGCAAAATCTTCAGAAAAAGCACAGGAACCTTTTTTTGATGTGACCTATGCCAAAAGTCAAGGGACGCGGGTGGCGCTGTGGGTTAAACCACAGAGTCTAGGACTTGCCGATCAGAAGGTCGACGGTTCGAATCCCCGCAACGGGGTGAGCTCCCGTTCAGTCCCTGCTCCTGCCAACCTAGCAGTTCGAAAGCACGTCAAAGTGCAAGTAGATAAATAGGTACCGCTCTGGCAGGAAGGTAAACGACATTTCCGTGCAGTGCTCTGGTTCTCCAGAAGCAGCTTAGTCGTGCTGACCACATGACCCAGAAGCTGTACGCTGGCTCCCTCGGCCAATAATGTGAGATGAGCGCCGCAACCCCAGAGTCGGTCACTGCTGGACCTAATGGTCAGGGGTCCCTTTACCTTATGCCAAAAGTCAAGTTACCCAGCCATTCCCACCCCCACCCCCCTGCAATGGGACTAGGGATTTGATTTGAAATAGTACCGTGTTAAAATAATATCACCATATGAATTCTGGCTAACAGCTTGTATGCGTCTTTGAATCAGGCAATGAGAATGCATATGATTGCAGGAAATTGTAATGCTTTGTGTAAGAAACCTATAAAGTACCCCCCTCCCAGGGCTTTTGGGTGGGGTTCAGCCTTTGTAGAGCGATCCTGCTGGAACTCTTTACTGCAGTAAGCAAATTTTCGGGATTCTTTCTTCAACCCAACTCACTAGCAGTTAATGGTGCAAGTTGTGGCAGCAGATTTGCCTTGCCACATTTTGGCGACCGTGGCAGGACAGAGGGGCCCGGGCAGCTACCTCCTTGGTCCACGAGGGCCGCGATCAGCCAAACGGCCGATATCTCGGATAGCCCAGGCCGCGCCATAGTTTACCAGAACCAAGGCTGCCCCACCTTACTTCCTGCACAACAAGACATGACGCAGATGTTCTGTTTCTTTCCCCAGGCCATCCGACTTTTGCCCAAACAGATAAACGGGTCTCCAAGTTGGAGCAGTTAAAGCACGACTTCACTAAACTCCTGGGAAAGGTCAGCGAGAAAGCGTGGGATAAATTGAACTTTGTCAGAAGATCGAGGCTCGGACAAGAACTGAGGTAAGCAGATCCGCCTCCTTCCCCCCAATTTAGGGGATTGGGGACATTAACTAGGGACTTCACGGACTGCAGCTTTGAGAAGGCTGACAGGGTTTTTTCTTTGCTAGATTTTCCTTTGCAAGGATGTGAAGCCTGGGGCTAACTGTGGCCCTCCATACCTCTCTATCTGGCCCTTGGGGCACACTCTCTAGGTCACGTGTCTGCCCCAGTTACACCCTTTCCCCACAGGCCATACACTTCACCAACTTTGCATTGCTTCCTCCTGGTTGGAGAGCTTTTGCATGGCTGGAATAAGTGTCCTTGACTCTGCTAATGCCTCTTGCTTGCATTGCTGGGATATAGACTGCAAAGTCTGAGTGTGTGTAGAAATGGTAGCCTACTGCACAAAAGTGAAATTTACATTCGTAGTTGGCACAAACATTTGCCTCTGCCTCTGGCCACCACTGACAGGTGGTCCCAGAAAATTTGCCCAGAATGAAGCATATAGCCTTTGGGGCCTGAAAAGGTTTACCCCCACCCCACCCCGCTCTTACTTCCTCTTCCACTTTGTTAATTTTTTCATTCTAGGAATTTATGAAATGTGCTTAAAAGTGTAACATGAAGGCTGGCTCCCCAATTCTGGAATATCTCGCCCAGTGAGGGAAGTTTGCCTCCTTTGTTTGTTTATTATGCCACCTTTCCTCTGAAGTGCAACTTCATGTGTGTAACTTTAATCCCACAACAATCTTGCGAGGTAGATTGGGTCCTTGTCTGGCCCAAGGTCACCCAGTGAGCTTCATGGCTGATTGGGGGTCTGACTCCTTGTGGAATAAATGAAGGAAAATGAGTTTTATTCTTAGAGAAGGAATGGTGAGGATGACCATGCCTGTCTTAAGTCCGATTCTGTGAACAAAGAGGTTCAAAAACAGCCCAAAGGAAGGGGACCTTTGAAGAACTGTTTTATCTGCACATTTTACATTGCTGGAGACACTACAAATGAGACAAAGCAAATGTTTGACATGCTAGAATCCTCCCTAAGAGGATTCTTTCTGCTAGAATGTACAATTAAGTAAGGAATGTATTAGAAGTAGACTGATAGCCTATGCCAGGGGTGCCCAAGCGTTTTTCAAAGAGGGCCAGATCTGATGAAGTGAACGTGTGTGAGGGCCGACCAAAATTGTTGACCCTTTTTTAGGGTTTTACCTCAGGAAATGAACTGCTGCATGGGCCAAATTGAACCAAGCGGCAGGCTGGATTAGGCCCCCAAAACGGACTTTGGACATACCTGCCTCCTGATTTATGAGGGCTGGATGACTTGAAAACACACCCCTGTTGACGAAACTGCTAATTTAGATGGGCGTGGGATGTATGTAAAGGAGGGGGGACATATTAGGGTAATATTAGGGAGTAGGCATGAAATGGGTGTTTAGGGAAACCTGTAAACTACAATTTCTTAACCAATACGGATATTCGAAGGGTTTTAGGGTATAAATTGTCTGTGATGAGAACTGGAATGCGCAATCCCCTCTTTACAGCATGAGCTGGGGGCGGGGGGGGGGGTTGTTGCCCACAGTACTGTGTCGACCAGCTTATGCCTGATTGTGGTGTAGACTCCTTCTTTCAAAGAGAAAATTGAATCCACCTGGGAAAGGTCCCTGGGACAGATTTGTCCAACACTCCCCCCTCCCTGATCCTAATCCAGTATTCTAAACCAGGGGTCCCCAAACTAAGGCCTGCGGGACAGATAAGGCCCAAGGGACTCGTTTATCTGGCCCACGGCGACCCCCGCTGCCACCGCCCACTCTTACTGGCGCTGCACGGCTGCCCACTTCTGGGTTGGAGGAGCACCGGAAATAGCTTGTGAGCATGCGCGTTATTTGCGCATGTGCAAGCATTATTTCCAATGCACATCCAGGTTGGAGGAGGCCCGTGCACATGCGCACAAGCTATTTCTGGTGCTCCTTCGACCCGGAAGTGCGCCAGAAATAGCATGTGTGCACGCGTATGGGTACGCGCTCCTCCGGCCTGCCACCCGATCAGTGCTGGAGACACAGGCCCAAGGCGCGGTAAGTTTGCTGACCCCTGTTCTAAACACTCTACCACATTGGCTCTGTATCCCACTCACAACGCTCTATGCCTTCTGAACCCCCACAGAATCTTGTTTCGTGATGATGTTGCAAAACTGCGCAAATACATCCAGGACTTGCAGGCTGAGCTGCCACCCGAAATCACACAGGCCTACCACGCGGCAGTTCAGTTGTCTGGGCACGCCCTGGTGGGCGCCAGCTGTAACCTAGCCGTATTACGGTCTGCCACAGAAGAGCTCTACGAGGGGCTGGAATCTCTAGTGACTTTCTACGCCAGCCCCGTCGCGGAGAAGTTGAGACCACACACGCAGGTCCTTAGAAATATGGTCGTCCCCAAGGTGCAGGAGCTGGAGGAGAAGCTGAAGCAGCAAGTGGAAGAAAAGGGGCCTGAGCTGATCCCTTACGCGCGGAAGCTTCACCGCCAGTTGCACGAATACCAGAGGTCCCTGGAGCCTTATGCCAACCAGGCCCAGGAGAAGATCAAGCTGGGCATAGAGACATTCAGCCAGACCATGAAGCGCTACGTCACCCCACTTATTGAGGCAATCAAAAAACGCGTCACAGACTCTTAAGAGGTGGAGCTGACATACCCCCAGTGCTTTCCCCAGATCTCTGAAGCTTCTCATAAGCAATGGAGGGTGGAACCTTGGCCAAACTCTTTGAAACAGAAAGGGTCAAAAAAAGGGAAGCGACTGGATTGAGTGTTCTCAGCAATTTGGGGTGGGGAGCAGAGGCTGTTGGTGATATCTTCCCTCCCCCAAACCGTGTAATAAAGGAGCTGTCCCTAATGATGCTGGTTTAGGGCTGTGTTTATGTCTTAATGTTTTCTGAAAATAATCTTATTGCATTTGTATATAATAATATAAATGGAGAAAATGTTGTTACTTGTTATAATATAAAATCATATTATAATATAATCAGGCTCAGCGATGCATGTAAAGTTCAATAAAATGGTCTTAATCCAGACTACTTAGCCCTAAGTATGTCTTGGTGGGCTATGGCTATTTTGTTCTTAAGAGGCAAAGGTAATGAAGATGCACTGTGTATCTTGAAATTTGTCCAATCCAGACCCTTTCCTCAGGATTCTCAAGTTTATGAATTAACTTTTCCTTTAGTGTTGTGTTCCAGACCTCTTGAAAAAGGTAAGTTGAAGACTATTTCCAATTTTTGGCAATCGCAAAGGCATGCTACAACAAGAAGGAAAGCCACAGGCTATTTGTGTGATACATTTCTTGGTTGTTCATCACAGATTAAGTGAGAAGATGAATAGTGGATCAAGGATTAAAGCCTGGGAAGCGATTTTACAAATCTCTTGAAAAACTGACATCCCACCCCCAACAATGATGTAATATCTGGGCACAACCACCACACATGGACTAAAGTACTCCACAATCTTTTTTTAACATAACGGTGGCAGCATGTGCTTTATTCTATGGAGGGTGCAGGGCATGAAAAATTATTTTAATAGCATTCTCTCTTTTTCTGGCAGAAGCAGATCAAAATGGTGCTTACTCCACAGAGCATTGCAGGATATGTGACAATGGTTGAACTACATGTTCTGTTAGCTACCTAGCTGTGCCTTTTAAGTGTAGAGTTTTCTTCTGCTTTTCCACAAAATTGCAAAAGCAGGGGGTGGCTGATTGGTTCAGGAACCAAGAATGGCAAGGCAAGTGGTGATTTAACTCTTCTCCCCTCCCATAATCCTGAATTTCTGTTTGCTGCCTTGAGAGATTCAGCAGAAAGATGGCCTAGAAAACTTTAAATGATGCTATTCAGTCTATTGTGTATAAAGTACAGCCATACCTTGGGTACAGACGCTTCGGGTTGTGTGTTTTCGGGTTGTGCACTACGCCGAACCCGGAAGTACTGGAAAAGGTTACCGTATTTTTCGCTCCATAAGACGCACCTGACCATAAGACGTGCCTAGTTTTTAGAGGGGGAATGCAAGAAAAAAATATTCTTTAAAGGGAGTGCTGAGCAGAGCCTGTTTGCATCCCAGGCGCTGCTCAGCGCTCCCTTTCACGCTCTGCGTGGCTCTTGCGGGCTTTTCCGGGAGGTGGGGGATGGGACAGAGCGCGGCTAAGCCAGAAGCTAGAACAGCAAGAGGGAGCGCAGTGATCCCTCTCGCTGTTCTGGCTTCTGGGATAGCTGCGCAGCCTCTTCAGGGCAACGGGATGAAGGCTCCCCGCTGCCCTGCGGAGGCTTTGCACAGCTAAGCCAGAAGCTAGAACAGCGAGAGGGAGCACTGCGCAGCAATCCCTCTCGCTGTTCTGGCTTCTGGCTTAGCTGCGAGAAGCCTGCATTCGCTCCATAAGACGTACACACATCTCCCCTTACTTTTTAGGAGGGAAAAGGTGTGTCTTATAGAGCGAAAAATACGGTACTTTTGGATTTTGGCGCTTGTGCATGTGCAAAAGTGCTGAATTGCAACCCGCACGTGTGCAGACGCAGCACTGCGGGTTGCGAATGTGCCTCCCGCACGGATCACGTTCGCAACCCGAGCATCCACTGTATTGCAGAAATTCAGATATCTCATCCCTACCTCAGTTTAATGTCCATACTCCTTCCCTGCCTCTCCAACACACACACACACAATCCCCATGAAATTCACAAAGACAACAAGGGTAATTGAAGGCTAGGTCTTTTAATGCTTCATTAAGGGAATGTTTACAGGCATAAGGAGTCGTTGTGTCAGGGAGAGTGTGGCTCTTCAGCAGCTTCATCCTTTGCTAGGCGCCTGTCTGAGAATTTCCAGCACAAAAGCCAGACTCCATCCATCCTTATCCTGCTGCTCACCCCTTGGTTACTAGACCAGGTTCTCACTCGGGCGGCAGCATAAACTTGGCCAGGCAACCCGGGAAGTCTTCAGCGCAGTCTTGCAAGCTTTTGTAGGTCTGCCTGAGATTGCCGTGAAGTCGCTGGATGACGGGGCGGAGCTCCTGGGTCTGCTGTTGGATTTTGGCCTTCATGTCGTCCACAAGAGGCTCCAGCTGGGCTCGAATAACCTCCACGTTCTGTGTCAGCTTCTCCCTGCCAGAGGCCAGGGTCTGCTGCAAGGTCTCCATCCGTTGCTCTGCCTGCTCCTGCAGCTTCTCGGTGTAAGGGGCTACGCGCTCCTGTACTTTGGTGATGCCACTCCGCAACTTCTCGTCCAGAGCTTCTGCGAAAGGTTGCATCTTCCGATTCAGCTCCTGTAGGTCCTCCGTCACCTTTTGGAGGGCCGGCAGAAGTTGGTCCTTCAGTTCCGCCAGGTGGCTTTGGACTCTGTTGAATTTGTCGGTGGCCTGGGTGCTGCAGAGGAGAAATAGTTTATATAAACACACACACACACACACACACACACACAGTTATTAGCTTTTTAACATATCATTTTCAACAGTAATTAAACATACTTTTACATCTTATTCAATACAGTGGTGCCTCGCAAGACGAAAAGAATCCGTTCTGTGATTTTCTTCGTCTAGCGGTTTTTTCGTCTTGCGAAGCAAGCCCATTGAAGGATTAGCGTATTAGCGCTATTAGCGGCTTTTAGCGGCTTATCTGCTGATCGGATCAGCTGATAAGCGGCTTAGCGGCTTAGAAAAAGGGGGGGGAAGGGGAAAAAACCAGCAGGAACTCGCAAGACATTGTCGTCTTGCGAAGCAAGCCCATAGGAAATTCGTTTTGCGAAGCACCTCCAAAACGGAAAACTCTTTCATCTAGCGAGTTTTCCGTCTTGCGAGGCATTCGTCTTGCGGGGCACCACTGTATTTTTTTTACCTCCATCAGTCCTGTCTGAAAATTTTCCAATCTAATCTCTTAGCATGCATTTCTTATTTTCCGTATTACATTTCAAACTCATAACCAGTATCTCTATCTTTTTCTACTTTGTAACACTTCGTATATTTCTCCTTACAAAACTTATTGTAGTCCTACTAGCGTAATTTGTTGATTACAGTTGCTCTTCAAATAATTCATATGCTTCTTCCAACCTTCTGTAAATCTCTGGTCCCGCAGGTTTCGAACCCTTCCTGTCATTTTGTCCAATTCTACATAGTCCATTAATTTCGTCTGCCATTCTTCTTTTGTCGGAAGCAGAGGAGAAATAGTTTAGCCTGGGAGAAACCTACAGGCCAGTTGTCCTTCAAGGAGCATGTCGTATTGAGGCCAGTTATTCAAGCTGGCTTCTCTTTCTCCTTCTCAGGAGGAAAAGGCAAAAACAAGCACTTCTTCACACAACACACAGGTGAAACCTACCGCAAGCTGTGCTGATGCCTACCAACTTAGATAGCTTCAAAAGGGACTAGGCAAATTCATGGAAAACGAGGGTAATTTTATTTATTTGCTTAACAACATTTATACCCTGTTTAATTGTAATAAAACCTCAAAGGGGTTTACAAAAATACTATTCTCAGTTAAAAGCAACTAAGAACAAGCAATGAAAGCCTTTTAAATATAGTTAAAATCAGCAGTAAGCTAAAAAAAAATATTTAAACACATTTGACATGTCTAGACAGGCTTGCGAAAACAAAAATGTTTTAAGCAGGTGTCAAAAAAAACACCAGTGAACACGCCTGCCTGCGGTCAATAGGCAGAGATTGCCAGCGTGTAGGTGCTGTTACAATAATTATACAGTGGTACCTTGGGTTACATACGCTTCAGGTTACAGACTCCACTAACCCAGAAATATTACCTCAGGTTAAGAACTTTGCTTCAGGATGACATCAGAAATCGCGCAGTGGCAGCACGGCAGCAGTGGGAGGCCCCATTAGCTAAAGTGTTGCTTCAGGTTAAGAACAGTTTCAGGTTAAGAACGGGCCTCCGGAACAAATTAAGTACTTAACCCGAGGTACCACTGTATGTGGAAATAGATGTTATATGTGGAGGCTGTAACAGTTTCAGTTCCAAAAATCAAAGTGATCAAGTGGGCACTTGTGGGGTAAGGCAATCCCCACACATAAATTTCCACGCTGTTAAGGGTTTCATATACCAGCAGTAACACTTTAAGGGTTTTATATTAAGGGTTTTATATACCAGCAGTAACACTTTTGCTTTTGCTATAAACATGTTCTGAACATTTACCGGCAATTGTAATGTATTATATATATACACACACACACACTTTTGTAAATCGCTTATAGCAGGGGTGTCAAACTCAAATTCATCGGGGGTCGCATCAGCAGTTTGGTCACCCTCAAAGGGCCGGTTGTATCTGTAGGACTATGTAAAGGACATGTAAAGTGGACGTTTCCTGTGTAGAACGGCCGGCGCCGCTAGAGGGCAGCCGTTCTCTGGCTTGTAGGCTGCCGCGCATGCGCTGAAGAGGCGGCTTTCTTGTATATAAAAAAAAAGTGAGAATAAAAGGTGAAGGCTGGCGGCCAGCGGCGGCTACACGGGCCACAGGACGACGTCTGGCGGGCCGAATTCGGCCCGCGGGCCTTGTGTTTGACACCCGTGGCTTAGAGGCTTCATTGACAGTTAAGCAGCATACAAACATAAATAGCAGGAGGGGAAATCCAGCAGGGCTCTTGCACTGACCATGTCTGTCTTTGCTTCACTCTGCCACTGGTGTTCTGGCCTCCTTTGGGAGATAAATGTCACACCCCAGAGGAACCCCTAAGTACATTTTAAACCTGCAGTTCCAAGGAAAGAGATGTACTTATGTCCCAGGATGCCCATTCTAAATTCCAGCCTCTTAGACCCTCGTCTCTGTGAAGCCCCTTTGAGTGAACCACGTTTGTATCTGCTGCATCATAAGTCTAGTCACAGGGTAGAGATTTCAAATCACCCATGGAGATTTCTCTTATCAAATTCAACGTGGCATCCCGTGATGTCAGCCCTTGTCTGGGTCAGTACAACCTGTGCTTGGGAGGGTGATGTGGTTTGTGTGTTTATATAAAGATATTGTGTCACCTGATCTCTTCGGGTAGCTTGAAACTTTCAAAGGGGCTGAGGATCTGCTTCCAAGTCAGGACGGTGCTGACAGGTTCATCGCTTGAAGCAGAACCTGTGGGAAGGAAGGAAGGAAGGAAGGAAGGAAGGAAGGAAGGAAGGAAGGAAGGAAGGAAGGAAGGAAGCCACATATTATAGGGTTGCCATCAAAAAGTGAAAATCCAGACACAAAAGTTGTTTAGCGTCTCCCTCCCCATTATTTTTTTTGCAAAATCTCCAAAACAGGTAACGTTTTTAAAAGCTATTTTATTGGGATAAAATAGCCTATAATTAAACATTTTTGATACGGGCAGCATTTTGGACTCGCAGCTGTCCATGGAGGCACAGGTCAAATCTGTGTCCAAGGCAGCTGTTTATCAGCTCCATCTGGTATGCAGGATGAGACCCTATCTGCTTGCGGACTGCCTCGCCAGAGTGGTGCATGCTCTGGTTATCTCCCGCTTGGACTACTGCAATGTGCTCTACGTGGGGCTACCTTTGAAGGTGACCCGGAAACTACAACTAATCCAGAATGCGGCAGCTAGACTGGTGACTGGGAGCGGCCGCCGGGACCACATAACACCGGTCTTAAAAGACCTACATTGGCTCCCAGTACGTTTCCGAGCACAGTTCAAAGTATTGGTGCTGACCTTTAAAGCCGTAAACGGCCTCGGTCCAGTATACCTGAAGGAGCGTCTCCACCCCCATCATTGAGCCCAGACTCTGAGGTCCATCGCCGACGGCCTTCTGGCGGTTCCCTCATTGCGAGAAGCCAAGTTACAGGGAACCAGGCTGAGGGCCTTCTCAGTGGTGGCGCCCTCCCTGTGGAACGCCCTCCCACCAGATGTCAAAGAGAAAAACAACTACCATACTTTTAGAAGACATCTGAAGGCAGCGCTGTTCAGGGAAGCTTTTAATGTTTGATGTATTAGAGTATTTTAATATATATTTTTGGAAGCCGGCCAGAGTGGCTGGGGAAACCCAGCCAGATGGGCGGGGTACAAATAATACATTATTATTATTATTATTATTATTATTATTATTATTATTAGCCTGGCTTTTCCCAGCCATTATAACCGATTTCTGAAAATTCCACCTGGACACCATTTTTGGATGGATGGATCCCGGACACATGGCAGCCCTAACTTTATAAGAATGCATCCTCACTATGGAATTGGCCTTGAGGCTCTCCTGCCTTGACACAAGGGTGAATTCTTTTACCTCAGAAAAACAGAGCGTGGCCACATTCACAGCACATTTCTACAGCACAGCTTTAAATCCTCCCAAAGGATTCTGGGAGCTGTAGTTTCTTAAGGGTGCAGGGCGATGTTAGGAGACCTCTATTCCCCTCGCAGAGCTACAGTTCCCAGAGTTTGCTGGAAATAAAGATTGGCCGTTAAAGCTTTCAGGGAGAGGAATAATGGGGGGGGGGCTCCTAACAGCTCTCAGCGCCCTTAGCAAACTACAGCTCCCAGAATTCTTTTTTTTAATAACCTTTTTATTCAAAATTAAAACAAAACATATTATCCAGAAACATATCATCCTTATTTCCCCCCCCCATTTTTCCTCCCTCCCCCCCATAGAAACCACCCACCCACCCCCACCCCCAACTTCCCTCATTTCCAGTCTTTGATTTCTCTAAAAATGTTGTTTTCTGCATGTTACACAGTTGTACAGATCCTCAAACTATTTAGCTGATTATTATCAATGAAAAGTTTGTGAATGTTTATTCAAAGCCAGCCTAGGAGTCCAGTTCGCTTCGTTGCCTCTTCAGATACTTTGTAGTGGGTTCCCGTTCATCTTTAAAGTCACAGTTATCCTTGTCCCGTAGCTTGTATGTCAGTTTTGCCAGAGCTCCCAGAATTCTTTGGGGGGAAGCCACCACTATTTGACGTGGCCTGTTTGGGCATCTCCGTGGTGTTTTGATTTTGGCAGGTCTCAAAGGATCACGAGGATCAGTGACCTTTGTGCCTGGTTATCACGATCATCTTCAGGGGTATCTCTCCAAGCGCTCCTGCCTTCTGAGGGAAAGAGGGCGCCAGCCAGAAAAAGGTACTTTCAGTGGTTACCGCCCTGCCTATGGAACTGCAAGTCTCTCCTCACCCCAGAGAGGTTTGCCCAACGCCAAGTCCTTTATTATTTCCAAGGCAGGCAAGGGGTCTTTTTATTTTTCCACGCCTTCGCATTTTCCATCCTTTTACCTTTGCTCTTAGATCTATTAATGCTGGGGATCTCCCCCGTTCCCCTTTTTACAGGCTTGCTTTTTTCCAGTTATTGTAATTTTTAATATTTCATAGTATTGTTGTTAGGTACCCTGGGTACCCTAGTTGAACTGAAGGGGCAAATTTCATGAAATTGGGGAGGAAAGAGAGTTAAGCCACCATGTGATGGATGAAGACCACCCAGGGACAACTGCAGGCAGGATTCCTGCATTGCAGGAGGTCGAACCCTCAGGATCCCTTTCCAACTCTATAATTCTGTGATCTGGTGAAGATTCACATCAGTAATAATAAAATAATAATAAAAATTTTATTTATATCCCGCCCTCCCCAGCCAAAGCCGGGCTCAGAGCAGCTAATAACAGTAAAAGTAACACAGTTTGCATAAAATCACAATCGATTACCGTGTTTTTCGCTCTATAAGATGCATCAGACCACAGGACGCACCTAGTTTTTGGAGGAGGAAAGCAAGAAAAAAAATATTCTGAATTTCAGAAGCCGGAACAGCAAGAGGGATCGCTGCGCAGTGAAAGCAGCAATCCCTCTTGCTGTTCTGGCTTCTGGGATAGCTGCGCAGCCTGCATTCGCTCCATAAGACGCACACAAATTTCCCCTTACTTTTTAGGAGAGAAAAAGCGAGTCTTATAGAGCAAAAAATACGGTAATTGAAATGCATTCTAAAATCAATTCATAATCAAATTAATCAAATTAATGGCAACCGTTGGGATGGAGTTCTATCAAGAGCTCCAGAAGACAAATGCTGAGGATAATTTTTACCAGAGACTCGTTTCTAGTCTCTGTGAAACACAACAGGGTGGGATATACCTTTATTAGAGGCAGATGGGACTCACTCATGCCCTGCCTTTTCTTCCTTTGGAATTGCCCAAACTGACATCAGCATTACACAGGCTTGCAACGCAGCTCTAAGGAGATAGTTCTGTCAACACAAGAATTTCTGCTTGCCCTGCAGAACAACCTCCCCTCTCCTCTCCCCAGGTGCTGTTCTGGGGGGTTCACCTGAACCTCCGGAGATTTGGGGGAGGCATGGGGGTCCATAGGGGGAGAAAGCCCATTGTACCAGCTTCTGCCAGTGGGGTGGGTTAGCTGAATCCAGCCTGCCACTATTCACCTCCTGACTGAAGCGTTGCATCTTTCATTAATACAAAATGGGTAAAAATACAACAGATAACATCTTACCCACTTTCTATGTGCCAGGAAGAGCCGCACCTGTGGGATTTCTGCTCCCAACGCAGCTGTTAAAAACCACAGGTCCTGTGTAGGGCCAGGGTAGGTCTTTCTCCCAACTCACTGCATTGAAAGGTTTTTTAGATCCTGGCTGTGTTTGCCAATGCTTGTAAGAGGGGAATCAGGCAGGTCAGAGCCTAAACAGAGGGAACCCCACTTACCTATGATGGCGGCTAAGCTGAGGAAAACAGCAAGAAGCTTCATGGTGCAATGGTCCCAGGGAGGCACTGGAAAGGCAGAATAATGGGGAATGTCAGAAAAGAGAGGAAAGGCATCCATTTATGGGGTGGCAGGGCAGGCTGACCACTCTGACCCTGTCACTCATTAACTCGGGGCTCCAAAGCCGTTTGGCAAGAGAAGGGCTCGCTGGCCTCTCTCCCTCTCACTACCCATCACCCTGCCCTCAAAAACACGGGGGGTGGGCAATGGCCCAGGAGAGGGTATTCTCTGGGGCAGCCCCTAAGTTGTGGAACCCCCCCCCTTCCCACAGAGGTGTGCCTTGCACCTTCGTCAGACAGCTTTCTGCGAACGAGGAGGAGGCACCTCTTTAACTTTGGACCCCTTCTGTTTCAGTGTTTGCAAGCTCTCCTGGTTCCTCAGGGTGAAGGGTGTGAATGTCATTGTAGAAAAGGATTTGACTCCAGAACCAAAAGGTGGATGGCGGAATATTAGTAGTATTTTCCAGGGGGGTTCGGGCCTTAAGTTTAGGAATTCATTGCACAAAGTTAAAAGGTTATCAAGTTCCTACAGCGTTGCCCACTTTTTCACTAGCTTTTGCTCCTGCACCTCAGCAAGCAACTAGATCCACAGACATAGCCAGGCAGTAATGATGCAGTAATGACACAGGTGGTGCTGTGGGTTAAAACACAGAGCCTAGGACTTGCCGATCAGAAGGTCGCCGGTTCGAATCCCCGCGACAGGGTGAGCTCCCATTGCTCGGTCCCTGCTCCTGCCAACCTAGCAGTTCGAAAGCATGTCAAAGTGCAAGTAGATAAATAGGTACCACTCCGGCGGCAAGGTAAATGGCGTTTCCGTCCGCTGCTCTGGTTCGCCAGAAGCGGCTTAGTCATGCTGGCCACATGACCCGGAAGCTGCACGCCGGCTCCCTTGGCCAGTAAAGCAAGATGAGCGCCGCAACCCCAGAGTCAGTCATGACTGGACCTAATGGCCAGGGGTCCCTTTACCTTTACGATGCAGATCCTCGCCTGCATTTTTCTTTTTAAGCTGATTTCTGCAGATCAGCTGTTGCTAGAGGCATGGAGCAGCTATCCATAACCTGGTGCCCTCCCCATTCTATGGGAATCCAACACTCATCATCTCCCAGCCAGCATGGTCAATAGTCAGCTGCCCATCCCTGACAGAAACTTTACAGCTTGATCCTATCACCAGCCAACCCCCACCTGCCTGCCTTCTTGCTTACAACCAGGGGGTGGCGCTGCCAGTCAGCTTCCTCCTTATTAGTCTCAGTGCTGCCCCTGAAGCAGGGATGAGGGCAGGGGCAAAACTAGAAAACATTGGCTCTGCCAGTCGTTGGCTCTGGCGCCACCTGCTGTTGGCCTCCGGCCCTACATGCCTCAGGGGGCGCCAGGCCCTACTGGCAACAGTGATTTAACAGCCTGTGTGCCCCTGGGTTCTCTGCTCATGTGGCCTCAGTAGTCCACTGCATTATTTACCGTACCTTTAAAGCCCTAAACGGCCACGGTTCAGTATACCTGAAGGAGCGTCTCCACCTTCATCGTTCTGCCCAGTCACTGAGGTCCAGCGCTGAGAGCCTTCTGGTAGTTCCCTCGCTGTGAGAAGCCAAGTTACAGGGAACTAGGCAGAGGGCCTTCTCGGTAGTGGCGCCCGCCCTGTGGAACGCCCTCCCACCAGATGTCAAAGAGAAAAACAACTACCAAACTTTTAGAAGACATCTGAAGGCAGCCCTGTTTAGGGAAGCTTTTAATGTTTAATAGGTTATTGTATTTTAGTGTTTTGCTGGAAGCTGCCCAGAGTGGCTGGGGAAACCCAGCCAGATGGGCGGGGTATAAATAATAAATTATTGTTGTCGTTATTATTATTATTATTATTATTATTATTATTATTATTATTATTTGCCTGTGTAGGATTAGGGCAAAACTGCCACCCCCTCTAGAAATCTGCTTGTGGCGGTCTGAAATCCACCACCTGACTTGAGGCAGGATCATTAACTCACTTCTTCAAACATTTGCGCCGCTATTAAGAAACTGTTTACGAAGTTTGGTTACAAGTGACTTAAAACTTCTGAAACAATTATAAGTATATGGATTATCTCCCCCCCCCCCATTTGTCACTATAAACTCAAATGGCTACACACACACACACACACACACACACACACACACACACACACACGGTTACCTCAGATGGCAGAGAAATCAGGAACCAGAGGAAATTTGAATTCTATCTGAACAAACTCTGCTTGTATCCAGTCCCACACTGGTCTCAAACCCCACCCAAGCGGCTGCTCTCCTTACCTAGCTCTGCAGGCTATTGGCTCCTCTTGAGTAGGCCAGCTTCTCTGCCTGTGTCTATATTTATAGTTGGATCAGCAGGAGATAAGGATTTGAGAATCGCATCTGCAGACCTGATGGCATGACTGCCACCCCACCAGGCCCCTCCCAGAGCCAGGGCACTGTCCCTGAATTACCTCCGGGGTGCTCAGTGAACTAGGAAGGGTAGAGGTCATAGAATCAAAGCACGGAGGAGTTGCAAGGTACACCGAAGGGTCATCTAGCCCAACCCCCTGGGGTTGAATGTTTGTGGACTTGGGAACCATGAACAGGAGCAAAAGGACAGCACAGGGTCCGAACGGTTCTTAGTTTCACAACCAGGCTGCCTCTTTTGATTCATTCCTCATGGCACAACAGCGATGACTCTGTGGTAGAACATGGGCTTTGTGTGCAGGTCACAGGTTCGATTCCCGCGTCTCCGGGCAGAGCTGGGAGAGTCCCTTGCCTGAACCACCAGAGAGCTGCCGGCAGTCGGTGCGGACAATGCCGAACCAGGTGAATGGGATTGGTAGAAGGCAGCTTGCCACGTTCATGTTGTGACCAGATTGAGCACGCAGAGTTTTACCAGAGCAGAAGTAGGCCTAGTCCGGACTCTCTTGGCAGTCCTTGTCTTCCCACCTTCATACACTGCCTTGCAGGTTTCAAATTTGCAAGATGACACAAGCGAAGGCATTAGGATGGAGCATCACTTCATCAATCTCAGTGTGGCCTCACTTGGTTAAAAAGTAAAGGGACCCCTGACCATTAGGTCCAGTCGTGGCCCACTCTGGGGTCGTTGCACTCATCTCGCTTTACTGGCCAAGGGAGCCAGCATACAGCTTCCGGGTCATGTGGCCAGCATGACTAAGCCGCTTGTGGTGAACCAGAGCAGTGCACGGAAACGCCGTTTACCTTCCCGCCGGAGCGGTACCTATTTATCTACTTGCACTTTGAAGTGCTTTCGAACTGCTAGGTGGGCAGGAGCTGGGACCGAGCAACGGGAGCTCACCCCGTCGCGGGGATTCGAACTGCCAACCTTCTGATCGGCAAGTCCTAGGCTCTGTGGTTTAACCCACAGCACCACCCGCATCCCTGGTTACCTCCCTACATAAGCACCAGCCCAGGGCCTGTCGACTTCCTCCTCCTCCATCTCCTTGTTGCCCTTCCTTAGGGAAAAAGGAATTCCAGAAAACACGATTATTCCTTTAACATTTTATCACTGCCACCTTCTCTGAGGCTTCAAAGTATCATGTGCTCTAGCACTTGGCTTGCATCCCATGGCTCATCAGGGTGTTTTTTTAAATATAAAAATGTGATCAGCTGTCAGCCCAGATTTAGACTGCCCCCCCCCTTAACCAAACTCTCCACCTGGAGTGGCCTCTGCCAGGAGTATGTACACAAGGTCAGCTGCCTGGCCCACTTTTAACCATTCACGGTTGGCCACCTTTGAGTGGATCAATTCTTGCATCAGGTGGGAAAGGAGTGCTCAGGCACCTCTGCCGAGCCAACGGGAAGATGAGTGAGCAAAGGAGAGGGCCCCCAGCAGCCCATATTTTCAGGTGAGGAGGTGAAAGGCAGGAGGGCTGTCTAGACAGAGAGGTCTAGACTCTCCACAATCAGCCGTTTGGCTGCATCCCTCTTTCAACAGCTACTCCTCTTGCAAATCAGCCTTCATGTGCAAGGAGCGCAAAAGTCACACTTACTCTCAGCCCGAGTCGGGTCACCCTGAGTGACTGGCTAGCCCAATTACTTTGGAAATGGAGCTTGCCTTTTTAAAAGCTCGTCCCCCACCAAATCGCTGGGGAATCTGCATGTGAGCGATACCAATGCAGCATGCAGGAACCTCAGCGTTCCAATGAAACCTCCATTATTTGACAGATTTTACAGTTGGGGAGTGTAAGGGTACTTCTATTGGTCATCGAGGTTGCCCCAAATGCCCAGAGTGGCTGGGACAACCCAGTCAGAGGGGTGTGGTAGAAATAATAAAATTACCATTACTGTATTATGGAAAAACCCAGCGCAGTCCTTTGACCCTCCCAAATTCTGAACAATGCATTTTTTTGCTGCTTGGGAAGCAGCCTTGCCGAATCGTAAATCATATTCAGCTAGAAATCAGAGCTGGAAAATTGCTTATGATATATATATTGCGCTTAATTCTCTACTCTGTCCCTGCAGAATATTCTGTCCAGGCAAAGGACTTTTTAATAATCTGTCCTCTTTTTCAAGCTGCCTTTTAAGCCATCATTTTACAGATGAGCACCACTTCCAAGAGCGGAGGAAACCATAAAGTTACTGGACATGCCACTAAGCGTTAATTAAAACTTGTTATATAGTGGCCCTGATTGCTTTCAGGTGAAATGGCTGCATTTCACACGCAGGCGAGTCCCAGACCACCAGGGGACGGAGGCTCTGTGCTTCGGATTGCAAAGGTATACTTGCCTTGCAATAAACAACCATTTTCATGTTCTGCCTTTTGAGTAATCTGAACTGTTTCACACTGCTCATCTCAGCAGCCCTTTCACGAGCTGCTTGTGAAGCAGGTTAGAATCAAGGCCGTGGCGCAAATAGACAACCAACACTGGCCTGGGTCTCACATCACTTTAAATCAGGGGTGGGGAACCTGTGACCCTGCAGATGTTGGGGAGCCAAAAACTGGCATCAGCTGCAGACAGCACGTCCAACGGCCTGGGGGCATGCATGTCCAGCAACAGCTGCAGGTCAGGGATGACGACACTATGTTGGCAATACCTGAATTAAACTTAAAGTTTAATGTCCAGTCATGGCCGACTCTGGGGTTGCGGTGCTCATCTCGCTTTGCTGGCTGAGGGAGCCGACGTGCAGCTTCCGGGTCATGTGGCCAGCATGACTAAGCCGCTTCTGGTGAACCAGAGCAGCGCATGGAAACGCCATTTACCTTCCCAACGGAGTGGTACCTATTATCTACTTGCACTTTTGATGTGCTTTCGAACTGCTAGGTTGGCAGGAGCAGGGACCGAGCAACGGGAGCTCACCCCGTCACAGGGATTCAAACCGCCGACCTTCTGATCGGCAAGTCCTAGGCTCTGTGGTTTAACCCACAGCGCCACCCATGTCCCTTCATTAAACTTAGAATAAACTAAATGAATACACACTTTGCTGCTCAGCACACTGGCAAGGAAACAAAGCATAGACTGGCTTCAGTGACACTTGCAAAGCAGCACACGTATTCTGTTTTCTCAAAACAAACCACAAGTTTCTTCTTGGCTGCATTGGTTTGGAGGAAACAATCCACCAATGTTAGTTCGCATGTATCATGGAGT